CATAGACCAATTCAGGAATGAAGTTATCAACGACCTGAAGCTAGAAGTACGCAGAATAGTTAGAGAAATGCTAAGCACCACCCAAGAAAAAACAGGTGGTGGAATGGAAGAACAGAAAAAAGGGGGAGAATTGTTTGATGGAGAAAACAGAGAAAGCATAGAATACGTGAAGCAGGTTCAAAGGGACTACCAAGATACTAAGAAGTCTATAGAAGACTGGCATAACAGCTTGAAAGAAACTAAGGACAGACTATCTGAACTGGAGGGCAGACTTGTAATATGGGAGAATGAAATGAAAAACTTCTTAAAAATGACAAAGAAACAAACAGCAATAATACAAAGACAAGAAGATGATAAGAGGATCCATAACTTAAGGATTAAGAACATAAAAGAAGAAGTAGGGACACAAACAAGTGAACTACAAAAGCTACTCACAGAAATAATCCAGGAGAATTTTCCTACTTTAGCAAAAGGTAAAGATACTCAGATGTATGAGGCATACAGGACCCCAGCTACCTACAACCCAAACAGAGCAACACCCAGGCATATAATAATAAAAATTCCAGAAATTCAATACAAGAACAGAATATTAAAAGCTGTAAGAGACAAGAAACAGACCACTTACAAGGGAACACCCATCAGAATTACAGCAGATTTCTCTGCACAAACCATCAAATCACGAAGAGCGTGGGGGGAAATAATTCAAGCTTTGAAAGATAATAATCTCCAGCCAAGATTGAGATATCCTGCACAACTGTCCCTGGAAATTGATGGAAAAACAAGGTGCTTCCAGGATAAAGAGGAACTGGGGGAATTTGCAACCACCAATTCAACTCTACAGAGAGTATTGCAGGATATTCTAAAAAAAGAAAAATACAAAGAATCCAAAAATAATGGCAGAGAGGCCACAATGAATGGAGCAGAGAACAAAATGAAGAAGACAAACTGACAGCTACTGACAGAAAAAGAGCTCAACAGAAATGAGACAGAGAAGATTGGATGATAGGAACAGCTATTTTGGAGAAAACGACATCTTAATAGGTAATACTGATTTAGTATCATCTTGTTTTGAAGTCTCATCTAGCTTTTGTCCTTCTGTCTCCAATGGTCTAAATAGGCTGTATCTTATTGGATTTTATTATGTACGATAGTATAAGCAAAAACCTTTTAAAGACAAGGAGATTATACAGAAACCATTGTTCATTTTCTGTTAGTCGATTCTAAATACTCTGTAATGTTGTCATTCTCTTGATTGGTTTTACATTGTTTTGATATACTTAATGCTACAGTATACGAAGTTGTACTCAAGGATTTCAAAGAAAGAGACAATATGGTAACTACTTTTAGGTTAGGATTATCTGGTGGTGAAACACTATTCTGCTTAAATGGTTATGTTTTGATCTGCGCTGTTTCGTTGTTATGCCCTCTTTTATCTCAATCTCCACTCCATTATTTACTTTTTTATCTTTATCCTTTTAATTAAAGGAAAAAAATAGCAGGATATATTATAGTAACCCACTTTGACTTTCCATTACCTTGATTTAAAGCCCTGTATTACTCTCACCATCTGGTTTTTAACTGATGTTCCCCTATTCTGTTTTGCTGGATAGTATCAGGTTCAAAAGTTTAGGCATCAGCTGTGAAGATGATGAGATTCATTATGACGCCCATTCTTGTTGACTTTTATCTACTTTTGAAGACCTACAATGTCTCCAATGTTTTGGTTTTGTTGGTTTTATTCTTTACTGTTTTGTTCAATTGTATTATAACTAACGATATAGGCAATTCTATTAGAGGTAGCGGGAGACATTATGGTAACCATTGTTGATCACCTTGTATTATGTTTTTACATTATCTATTATGTCCACCCTTTTGACTTGACCGATTCTGTTCTGTTATGTCACATTTGGTTTTACTGTCTTCCAAAAAAGTAATAAGAACCATGGGAGCAATGAAACCCAAAATGTGTAATAGTCATGGTACAAAAGAGAGGAAAAGAAAGTGCTCCAAACTATATAACTGCATGTATATTTAAGTGTATAAGATAGAAAATGATATCACAGAGTTTTATTGGATCAATGAACAGAACTGTTTGCAGTATCATTGATGGAATGTCCACTTTACAAGCTTTAATTTTGTGACTTGAACAATTATTTCTAAGATGACAATATGTAATCCATTAACTAGTGATTTCCTACTGTTCATTTTTTTCTGTAAATCTGTATAACTTGTACTCTTTCCCTGCTTTTTTTTCTTTTCTCCTTAAATAAAATTAAAAAAAAAAAGTAAATATAAAAAAAAAGTGCACCCTTGTAACAAAAATGCAGTTGAAATTTGGCAATTAATTTTATTAATCATTATAAACAATAAAACAAAATGCAGGTTGAGTCTTGAATTAGCCACTTTGGCTAATCTGCTGCAATTATAGACATACAGTTTAATTTTATATCAGACACACAACTACTGAATATCAGCATCAGGTTTTAATCTTCCTAATTTGTTGTTTAATGTAACAAGATTAAGATGACAAAAAATACCCTACGTTGTAGATACACAGGAGCTATATCTCTGTGCCACCTCACTGCTAAGGAGTTACATCTGCTCAAGGTATTTTCAGAAGACAGAGCTGAAAATATGGGTTTCTTAGAAATCTTGAGTGTAAGCTAATAATTGCTATAAAGCTTGCTCCCAAGACACTGTAGTACTTGTCTCTGTATCGTGATGTTCCTATCTCGGTGCTTTTTGTCTGCCGGGGACGCCCATGGAAGAAGTGGCTGGCGGCTGGCATTTCTTCCAGTCGTGTCTGTTTTAGTTGAGGCCACAGCCCCTCTGCCAAGTGGCCAGAGTCCCCTCTGCTCACTATGCCTTTGTCCTCCACCGTGAGGCACCGTCACCCACTTCTGAACACTGACTCAAGCCCAGCAGCCAGGACAGAGCAGGTGCAGGCACCAGGGACCCAGTGCCGTCGCCCCGTGCTTTCTGTGATGGCTGCTGTGCAGGAATTATCCCATGCTCTTCTTGCTCCCAGCAGCCCTCAAGCCTCTCTGTACACTCTCGTCTCTTGGTTGTGCTTGTTGACTTTGTGTCACCAAGGTGTGAGCCACTGGGGAAACTGAGGCATCCTGGAGCTCTCTTAGGGCCAATTCTTGCACCTGTGGGCAACTCTAAAAATTACATCAAAATTCAAAGTTTTTAAGAAGTCACTCCAGTTTAGAAAGTAAATAGCGTCCCGTCTAACGCATTGTTGGTGTCTTCATCATCCAGGGGCTGTTACATGACAATAACTTTCATGTGCACCTACTTTTATTTGTCACCATCTGCCTCCCCAGTACATGAGGAAAAGGGGAAGTGTGTAACTGTCTTTACTTTGGGCCCTTCTATGCACACTGGCATGGTCACTGCCCTGGGATCTACCACACCTGTCTGGAACCCCCATCAGGGCTTCCCATGTCTACCCCCACACCTGAGGGTCCTGGCCAAACTCTGTGCATGAAAGGATTTTGCCCTTGATAGGACATTATGGCAGTGGGAGGCAGGACCAAGGGACGTTTATCTTGATTGAGATCACTTTTCCTGCCCCTATGCAACTTACCTGTGGTGCAAAAAGAGTCCCAATCAGCTATTCTCGCATCAGCAATGCCACCTTTAAGCACCACCCTAGTCGGAAACTATATGTATATCCCCACACATTTCCAGCAGAAAAAGCCAGATCCCTGGTGATCATGGAGTTTCTCTCCATGTTCTTAGAATAAAGGCCATTTTTACTTTATATTCTCTTTTACTGTGCCGAAAATCCTATCAGTGCAGACCACAAGCTTGGGAATTTATTTGCATGAAGAGTAAAGATGTGATTGTTAAGCGAATGGAAGATTAGTGATCATCCTATTAAACATGAATTTCTAACTCCATTTCTTTGTTACTAGTTAAATTCATTTGTTTAGATGCAACAAATGAGCAAAAGTTGCTCCCCAAAGCCACAGGAAAGACCCCCAGGAAGGAGGAGTCACCTTCTTAGATCCAGGCTCTGGGCATCGCTAGCTGGTCCTCTCTGGGCCTGGGACTGAGCAGGTGAGTCAAGTTCAGAGCTCTTGTGCTCTCAGACACTGCAGGGAGGGCGGGGAGGCAGAAACTGTGCTACAAAACAGTGTGGCAACTTCTCTTTCACTCCTGCAGTGCTAGGGATGGAACCCAGGACGTCACATGTGATACGGAAGTGCTCATGACTGAGCTCTGCCCCAGCCAAATGGTGCAGACAGGCCACTTGGAGATACCCAGGAGAAAAGCAAATATACTGTAAACCACAAAACAAATGGCCGATCAATGAGGAGATGAGGGAACTGGCATATCCATCTGATGATGAAAATGAATCGAAAACCTCAAAGTAACTATGCCAAATGAAGAGGCAGATGCAAAGCATGTGAACTGTAGGATTCCACCTCTATAAAATTCTAGAAAATGCATAGTAGTCGCCAAGAGGAGAAACACACCAGTGGTTGTCAAGGTGGGGTAAATCGGAGGGAGATGGAGGCAGCTCCACCCCCGCCCCCTTGCCACTTCCACCCTCAGGACCTGCAGTCCTGTGTGTCATGGTTACACCTTTTTAACCGAGGTTCTGCCCTTACTGGCTCAGTAGTGGGACGTGAGCACCTATAGATAAGTGGAATCTGTTGGGACAGCCACGGGGACCCACACAGATAGTGGGCTAGTGCATCACTGCAGTTGTACCAGCAGCTTGATGAACACGACCCACACACTGCATGCACAGCTTCAGCCCAGGCTTCCTCACTCCATGTAGAGGGATGTCATGAGCTGGCAAAGAGCAGCTCTGCTAGCAGTCATGACAAGTGTCAATTTTAGAATCAATTTAGAACACTTTCATCCCCTAGAAGGAAATCCTTACCCTTTGGTTAGCACTTCCCTACTCATATCCAGTAATCATACACAATTTTTTCTCTGTGCGTTTACCACTCCAACATTTTACTTTAGGGGAGTCATGGTACCTGTGGGTTCTCCTGACTGGCTGCCTTGCTGAGCCTGCTTTCAAAGTCCATCTGCACTATCGCAGGATCTGTGCCTGGTTCCTTTTTCACTGCCTCTGTGGCCACTGCGTGCATCAGGATGTGCAGGTTGGCCCTCGTTAGCTCGGGCCTCTGCTGTGGGTCCCGCTGCAGCATCTGCAAGGGGAGCTACTGCTGTGTGCACTCCCAAGCTCTGGGGTAGTCCTCGCCACCACACTCCCACACTCCTGGAGATGCACTTGGCTGAGTCAACAGCAAATATATGTTTAACTTCTGGAAGAGTAGCAGACTATTTCCAAAGCAGCTGCGACATTCACTGTCTCTCCAGTATCAGGAGGGTTCTGGTCTCTCCACACCCACCAACATGCTACAATCTGGCTTCTTAAAAATTTACTACCCAGTGGGCATGGGGTGGTGACTCTGACAGCCGTTTCCTGGCAGCAACAAATCACCACCTCTTTTTTCACACCCTGCATACCTTGCTCAGGCGTCTCATTGCTCATGCAGTCGTCCCCTCTGTAGTTCCCAGGACTGGCTGTGGTTATGATACGGCTCCCACAGCTCCCAATATGAGTAGGGAAGTGCTAACCAAACCAGACTGTGCCGAGGACCTGGGCGTGGAGATGGTTTATGACTGCAAGTGCACACACAGCAAGGCTCCTCTAACTGTGGACTCTTAAGTAAATGCAGCTACCTTGTACTGACTGTGAGTCCTGTTAAAGCTGCGAAAATAGACAAACCCACTCACCCACCTTCTACCCCAGTGTGTGAGCCTGTACCTGGGATAGGAAGCCCTCTTTCCCAGGGGAATCTCCAAGGCTGCCAGCTCAGCTCCTCAGAGCTACACCTGCTGCCCCTCTGCCTATACTTCCAGGAAATGGGTGCTATGTACTGGCAGCAGCCTGGCTTCTGATTCAGTTACCTAGCTTAGATTTTTATGTTGAGACACAGATCCACATCACTCTTCTCCAAATAACTCAGCTATGACACACTCAGGGCCCCCCATGGGCCACCTACATTGACATCTGTGCATGTCACAGAGTCTAGAAAGAGGTCACAGGGAAACAGGATGCTGTCCCAGACACCAGGTCCCCGCCTCTCTTATCCACTGGGCTGCAGTCAGCAAGAGCAAGGCACACCTGAGACAAGGGCAGCTGAGTGCAAGGGGGCAGCAGGTATGCCCCCACATGCCCTCACTGGTGCCTGGGCTGTTCTGGGCTCCCTGTGCTGTGGTCTAGCTGGCTCTGCAGTTGGCCCAGGGGACAGGTGATCTCAGCCCTGAGGGGCTAGGGCAGCATACAACACTGTAAGGTCTGGTTTTCCCTTTAATCTGATCTGTGGTGCTGCAGAATGCACTGCAGCAGGAAACAGGGACAGACCTTGTGTCGGTGTTGAGACTTGTCACTGACTGCCACAGGCCAGCAGGTGGAAGTCAGACCATCCTGGGGGGCAGGACAGGGCCCAGGCAGGCATGGCCAGCCTCTGGGCCTTCTCACCCTGACAGTAGAAGCAAATGGCTCTTCATGCTCTCAGGAGTGAGCCCTTCAGTCTGCAAAGCTCCCTTCCTCTCCCAGCACTGACAAGCACTGATGAGGTCCCTGGAGCCTTTTGTCTATAAACAGGGCATAAAAGCTTGGAAAACTCATGAGCCTGCTTGCCCTCAGAGTTTGTATATGGCTTTAACACTTGCACAGTCCCGTTGGCAGGAGCTGCAAAGATGCCTGGAATAGAAGAGGAAAGAAAGCAGCCAAGGGACTGAGGAGGACTGGGAAGGAGAATGGAACCTGTCAGTTGTCAGCATTCCCAAAGGCTCAATTTAGGATGTTCAGAAAAACGACCAGCCACAAAGTGGTCTTGGTAAAAGGTCTGCGGTGTACTCAGCCTCACGTTTCCTTCTTTGTCAGATTAGCAGCTTTGGGTAGGAGATGCCCAGCCTGGTGTATTCTGTGTGGGGACGTAACACCCACCCCACACACGGCCAGCCTGGCAGCAAGGGCGACAGGTCTTACCTCAACGAGCTGGGAGAGGTTCCATATCACAAAGCACAGACAACTGCTTTCATCCCGTTTAATAAAACAGGGTTGTTGTTCCTTCCCATGGTAGCTGGCTGCACATGTCTGCAGCTTTTCTCCTAAGGCACCCCTACCCTCAGCCCTCCTGCACACACCAGAGAGCCAGCCAGGCCATCCCTGGGTGCAGGTGGCTCTGGAAGCCCCCTTGGCGGAGTGGTCCACACACTCTGACAGTGCAGGTCTGGGGAGAGCATCTCTAAATGGACAAGGAGGTATTCACAACCCAAAATGAGATTTGAACATGTACTGTGAGCAGGTCATGTTTTGCCAAGACATACAAAGATCTCTCACCACACTTTTGTTCCTGCTTAAAAATATTAGCTGTCACTTCTTTCATAGGCTTGGGGAAGAAGTACTTCTCGATGCTTCCCTTGTCCATGGCCTTCCATGGTCACCCAATCTTGCCAATGGTGTGTGTGACGCAGCCACAAAGCAGTGTGGCTGAGGACAGGGCAGTCACCAAGCAAGCATCTTTTGTGAGATGCCTCCCAGGTATGTGGCAGGAAGATGTGAACTGAGGGCAACGGCCACTCCTTCCCAGCGTGGGTGAGCAGCACAGCCACTGAAGTCCTGGTCACACGGCAGGGCAGGCTGTGTGGACACCACACCTGCAGCAGGTGAAGGAGTCACGTATGCCCTGAGTCCTATGATCCCACCCCAAGCTGCAAAGCTCTGCCTCAGCCACCCTCAGACCCACCCTGGGGACACTCAGGTGTGGCACCAACTCTGGTGCATGGCTAGTCAGTCTCTGACTTCCAGTCTTTTCTCCACTCAAGCACATGTGACAAAAATACCTCCATGGACAACAGTCACCCAGGACTCACTGACCCAAAGACACCTGGCCATGTGGGCACACTTCCCAGCACTTTCAAGACACCCAACACCAGCAGTTTCCCTTACAAAAGGATTATACGCCAGGACATGTCTTTAGACCCAGCCCTTGGGAGGCTGAGGCAGGAAGATTGCAAATATGAGCCCATCCTGGGCCACGTAATGAGAGTCTGCCTCCAAAGAAGGGGTGAGGAATGTGGCTTAGTTCATTCAGGGCCCCAGGCTTAATCCTTCCTCCTGAAAAAAACCCACACTGCACATACAGCATTGGGCACTTCCTCTTGCCCCCTCTTAGCCACCTCTGAATAACCTTAAATCGCCTTTCACAAGTAGGATGGACTCTGGAAGGAATTCATCCTCCCCTGGACACCAGAAAAGCAGTGGCTTCCTCATGGCCTAAAGATTTAAACAACTGAGACACACACCCTTGTGGATGGCCTTCAGACTGACATTAAAGGACAGATGGGAAGCTAACATGGAAGGCAGCACAACAACCAGTGTAGAGCCCGGGGCCAAGCGAGGTGCAGCCAGGGTGCCCCAGTTCCCACCCTGAAGCACCAGAAGGTAACTCAGTCCCAGTGCCCAGCTGGCTCTGCTGCAGCACCAGGGAGACTGGCAACTCCTGTGGCCCAGCGGGGCCAGGGCCCAAACTGGCAGGAAATTGATCAGGACTACCCAGGGTTCCTTCAAGCCCCCAGGAAAGGAGAGCAACAGGAAGCACCTGCCTGCCCAACAGGGTACTCCTCTGCAATGAGCTACTCAGTGACACCACCTCAGGCTTCCTGTCAGCAGGAAAAACGCTGACTTCCAAATCTCTCTGCAAACAACTGCATTTCTATATTCTTATTTTTATTTATAGAGAATAAAACCAAACAAAATAAAACAGACGAAAGCCAATCAGAATAAAACAATGAAATCAATATAGAACTTCAAAACAAGATGATAGGAAATGAACAATGGTTAGCATAACATATCTTGTTATGGGTATAGCTGCCTGTACCATCAGACTTTATAAAACCAAACCCAACAATGAAAATGATAGAGGACTTCAAAACAAGATGAGGAAATTAACAGTGACTACCATAATGTCTCTTATTATCTTAAAAATAACTGTACAGACCATCAGACATAGTCATGTAAAATTAACCAAACAATATAAGAACTAAGTTGCTTCTTTACTTCAGTTGGTATCTTTTCAGAAATTTCAGGTGTGTGACTTAATTTCTACTGTCTCTGTGTCTCCTGAACTTGTTCTGTGTGGGCTGGAGGTCTGAGATTGTATTTTGCTCCTTCATCTTGACATTTCCTTTGTTCCTTCAAATCAGCCCACTGCTGCATCCCAGGTGCTTCCTGCACTGGCTTACAGTTCCTCAGTGGATTCGACTAGGTACCTACCTGGTTTCCAGGGTTCGTAGGGTGGTGGAAAGGCATAGGGCAGTAGTTCACCAGTGCTTCCATGGTAGTGGCTGAGCCCCAAGGCACGGTGTATTTTCCAGGTTGGCACTGGGCTCAGCGGATCTCTCCAGGCTGTTGGCATATGGCCTCAGAGCATGGCTTCTTCCTATTGACACCATTTGTTCACAGGTTTAGTTCAGCTCTGATACTTCTATGCTCATTTTATGTCTAGTTGATCTGTCCCTCTGTGACAATAGGGCACTGAGGTCTCTCAGTACAATTGTGTTATTGCTCATTTGATTTTTCATGTCTACCAACACTGTCTTATATAGTTGGGTGCTTCTGTATTAAGGGTATATATATTTATGTTACAGTATTTGTGTTGTCTCCAGCTTTCTCATTGACTCCAATCAATCTTGTGCTACTCTTTACTTTTTCTTTGTTTTCATGATCACTGGTTGCAATTCTGTCTTCAAGATCTGAAATTCTATCCTTTCCTTTATTCAATCGGTTGCACATACTTTCAATGGAGGTTTTAATCTGGATCTTTGTCTGGATCTGTTTCATGGATTCCATTTCTCTCCTATGTTTGGCATTTTTTGTTTCCATCTTTTTCTAAGTTCATCTGTTCTTTTATTTGTCTTCTCTAATATCTTTGATTGTAGCATCATTTCTTTTTGTACCTGAGATCATTTTCTCTATAACCTTTCCCATTTGTTTTTTTCCTTGTTGTTATCATTTCAGAAAGTTCCAGTGTTTGACTTCCAACTTTATCCATCTCACTGAGTATCCTAGGTGGGCTGGGGCTAGGGTTGCATCCTGCTTCTGTGTCTCATCATTCTCCACTTTATTTTTCTTTTGTCTTCTGTGTTGATGCCAACCTCCCATGATATATAGCTCTACCACTATCACTGAGGCATCTCTCTAGGAGGAAAGGAGATGTCTCTTCCTCAGGGATGTCCTCTAGATGTAGTTGGTTTTATATAACTACTCCAATAACCTACCTTCTTCTGGCGCTTACAGTTCCACGATAATGTTCATGTTACATCCCATAGATGTGTGGGGTGTAGAGCTGATCTTGGCCTCTGGATGTGGGGGCTGGGACTGGTCTTCTGTTGGTGAAATTCTCCAAAGTCCAACTGCTGGCTGGCTCCTCGATGCTTCTTCAGACTCTGCACATTACTGGTCTCATCAATTACTTTACCCCCAAAGGAGTGTGTGTCTGTGCACTGAGCTGATGTCCTGGGTCCTGGGGTTTCCATCAATCTCACTCTTTCCGACAGCCCCACCATCAGGGGAGTAGGGGCTAATGGTGGGGTGCAGAGCAGGGACTCACTGTCCTCCAGCCAGCCCTGCACTCCAGGAGGTTGTATTTTCTTTTTAAAAACATTATTCGGCCAGGCACTGGGACAGTATCTGTCATCCCAGCTCCTCAGGAAGCTGAGGTAGGAGGATCATGAGCTCTAGTCCTCCTGCCCTTGGGTAAGTACCTGGCGAAGCCCCATCTCCAAACATAGGAGAGAAAGGGCTGGAGAGGGAGCTGGGTGGCAGAGCTGAGAATGTGTGAGGCCCAGGGTTCAATCCTCCATACTGCAAGAAGGAAACCCAGATAGACCAATAGCAGGGCATTGTCTATCGCAGTTACACCCAAGGGTTAGGAACCCAAGTTTCAGTGAGCACAGCCTCCCTTAGAGCTCCCTGGAATGGCTGGGGCAGGGCCTGGTCTCTCCAGTAGCACTCACACAGCCCTTTGAAAGAAGCTCCTTTACTCCAAAAAGCTCCGGGGAGCCATAGAGGACATGCCACACTGGGTGGACCTTGCTCCAGGCAGTAGAAGTGATGAGTGCAGGTCCACAGCATAGACACATGACCCACCTGAACAGCTCTTGGCCAAGACTGAGAGACAGGCAGCCATCTGGGCCTAACACACACACAGCCTTGCCAGGACTTCTATGGTTTGGATCTCAGATGTCCCCAAGGCCCATGTCAAGGTGTGGTCCCCGGCCTGTAGTACATTGGGGAGGGAGTGGAGCTTTTGGTGGGAGGGGCTTGGAGGAAATGAGGTCACTGGGGCATGGGCATTAGGGGACACTGGACCCCCTGCCCTTCCTCTCCTCTTGCCACATGAAATGAGCAGTCCTCCTCCTCCACCCCATGCTCACCATTGTGGACTGTGCCGCCACAGGCCCAAAGCAATAGGGCCAGAGTAATCATGGCCTTGGGCCTCAAGAGTCCATGACAGAAGCAACCCGCCTTCTCAGCTCACCCCAGCACTCTGTCTTGCCTTTCTGGTGCTGTTGCCCACCTGCCATCTGTGTCGCTGTGCCTCCCTGGAGCCAGCCTCTCCTGACCAGGGTTGCCCACCTGCACTGTGAGCACCCCTGCATGAGAGGTGCTGGGCTTCACTGTGTACTTCTAAACAGGCAGAGCTATGGTCAGAAGCTTGAGTGCTCAGCCCAGACGCCCCTTTTGCCACCTGCCCTCCACAGTTTAGGAACTGGGGAAATATTTTGCATTTCTCTATAAGCTATCCATGAAGCAGGTGCAGTCACCAAGCTGCACCACCTCTCCATACTATGCCCCGTTAGCACTCCCATGGGGCTCAGTGCAAAAGAGGGTGATGGGACTGACGGAATAGCAAGGACAGCAGTCTGGCTGTCACTCCAGGGCCCTCTGGGAGTAGCCAGTCTCAGAGGTCCAATCTCCCCTTCCACTGCTGGCCTGGCACTGCCATTCTTGGTGGCCAAGTTTACCAGCAGAGGGGCCTGCTGTCACCTCCTTCTGCAGGATATAGCCTTGCCATTAGGCAAGAGTTGGCCATATCCATGTCCAATCCTAATGGCCACAGTTACCTCGACCTGGATGGGACATGCTCAGGCAGAAAAGACAAAATGGTGGGACCTGGAAAGACTGCGTATATCTGGAAGCTCGGCACACAGTAGTCGGGGTGCTTCCGTGGGAAAGAGGCGGCTCCCTTAGGATTTCTTAGCAAGTCTATATTAAGGGGTAGAACTCTAGGCCTGGGGTGCAGGTCACCAAGTAGCACCCAGGGTCACTCTCCCCAGGGCTATAAGGCACCCATGATCAGGTGGGGCCAGGCTGCCCGGGCTACATATGCTCACCCAAAGGTTTTACTTTTCTTTTTGTGGTACCAGGAATGAACCCAGGACTTTTGCACTGAGCTACATCTCCAGCTCTTTTATTATGTTTTCAATTAAGAGACAGGATCTTGCTAATTGGTAGTTTCCCAGGTGGGGCTCGAACCTGTGATCTTGCTGCCTCAGACTCTAGAGTGCTAGAATTCTAGGCATGGAGTACCATGCCCAGTTGCAAAGGAGAATTATCATAAAAAGGTCAGTAGTTGCTGGACTGCCTCTTTTGTGTAATTATTTACCAGTGTGGCTGAATTTGAGTTTTCTAACTTTGCAATGTATTTTTAAGTACCTACTATTATTTATTCCAGCAAATAAATTACCATGAACTTTATGGCTTACAGTAACAAGCTTTACTGTTTCTGTGTGAGGGTGGCCAGTGGCTGGCCAGATTCCATCTCACCTCTCTGCCCCACTGGCCCCAGCTGCCCCACTGGCAGCTGCTTTATTATTGCCACCAAAGGAGCCAGGGGTAATAGCCCAGGCCACAGTACTTTTGGAGGCTGAGGCAGGACACTGCCCAGCCTGGACAGTTTAGCAGCTTAATGAGCCCCTCTCCTCAAAAAAACCCAACTCCAGTGAGTGTTGGTGACATGCAGCACCTCTCACTAGTGAGGTTCTCGTCAAGCTGAGCTGTCTATTACAGAGGGGAGGGGACCCTGAAGGCTACGAGTGTGAGGTAAGGGGCCATGGCCTGACATACTCACCACACTCTTTCCCCACAGGAATCTCGCCTGAGGACACCTCACTCTGAACACATCTAAGTTACCTGCTCATTCTACCTCTACAACAAGGGAACCCAGGAAACAGTACAGAGACAGAAAGAGTTACCTCATCCTCTGAGGAAAATATACTTACAAAAATAAGCTGAATGGTGTTTCACCCTGGCCTGTCAAGAGTGACAGCAGAAGTGGTGACATCAGCAGTCTCCAGCAGTAGCCTGTGATTTCTGGGTTTCGGCAGGGGCGTGGGACAAGGTATCCCACGTGTGAGGAACCAATGGGTGACACCAATGGGTGGATGGGAAAGAGCATCACAGGTGGTGTTGCAGCCAAGGGCTGCACCTGCAAGACTGAGAAACTCATCGTCACTGGCTGCAAAAGATATGTGAGATATGGTCTCTCTCAGAAAGAGGTTGGGGAGTCTTGACTTCCATCACACTTCTATAAAATTAAATATTCTACTATATTAAATATCAAAATTTGGGAATATCTAAGTAATCAGAGGTGGACAATGCACCCCAGGTGCAAACTCTGCACAGCCCCGGCCTCAAACTCACTTGTCCTGAGCTCGAGCCACCGCCACAGCCAGCAGTTTGCATCGGGGCTGCTTTACAACCAAAGACAATCGAGGTTCTAAACATGGGCTGTGACCATGTTACACTTCCATCAGGGCGGCTTCTGTTCTCTGCAGCTGGGCACTCAAGTCACAAGCACAGTGTTGAGTCTGGCTCAAACCTCGCTGTGGGCTCCTGGAGAACTGCTAAACCCTGAGCCACATCTGGCCCTGGTGCTGTCCATATGACATCCCTGTTCCTGTCTGAGCCGAAGCTTCAGTCCTTGTCACACCCCCACAAATGCAGAGCACAGAACCACGGGCTGCAGGAATCTCAGCACTGAGGACGCCCAGCATGTGAGGAGGGGCTCGGCTCAGGTGCACAGTGTGGACAGGCAGGGGTGGCACGGCGGTACCTGGTCTCCTGGGCTGGGCAGAAGAGGCCCCTCCAGGCTGGGGTTTGGGTCCTGGCTGGCTACCAGGCTGGGGAAGGCACCATGCAGTCTGCAGGCACAGGTATCACCAACAGAGTGTGGCTGCAGGACAATGGCAGGGGAAAACACCAACCTGCGGGCTGTATGGCACGAGAGGGCTCAGCTACCCTGCCTTGGAGACAGGCAAGACCCAGACCAGATGGCATGGCATCAGCAATGAGCAACACAGTGGGGCAAGCAGGAAGGAAAGACCCAGTGCATTCTGAGCTGGTCACAGTGCAGTTAGAGCCACGAGCCCATCTCAGGGACCTCTGCTCTGCCAACTGTTCAGAAAACAACAGCCCAGAGAAGGCTGCAGCTCCTGGCCTCCCAGGAGGCTGGAGCAGGAGGATTCCACAAAGAATGGGTTCCACCAGCCTGGGCAACTAGTGAGGCCCTGTCTCAAAAATCAGTCAATGAGTCAATCACCCAATCTATGGAAGAAGAGTCATTTTTAAAGTGTTTTTTCCATTTCCTCTTTCAACCTCCTGGGTACTACCTAAAAAGTAAAGCCAATTACACAGAAAAACAACACACTTCAAACATGAAGACCATAGTGAGCACTAGAAAAAAAAAGTCCATCACTGCTTTAAACTGTGAGGCCATGTGCAGAGCAGCAGAACAATTGGATGTGAAGTCACCTTGTGACTGATGCATGGAATCCACAATGGAGGCATCATCGGGAAAGGTGGCCCTGGGTCAACCCATGATGCCTGGAGGAGGAGGAAGGGGTTCAATTCCTGTTGAACTCACCATCGCTGGCTACTCTGTGGTCAGTCTCCAAGCCCCAGGCTCTTCCGCCCCACCATCCTTGGGGCCCCTCCACAATGGCCCGGTGCGGCAGCCCTGCTCCAGAGGACAGCAGCACCTTCACAGGGACTGACGTTTTCTCGGCCTGGGGAGTGGAATTGGGAGGGACATAGGGGACCCCTGGTGGAAGGAAGCTGACGAGATGAGGACCCAAGAAGACCCTGACATGGGAGGTGCGCTCCCACTCCACGAGATGTCATGAGAAGACACGGTCAGTGGACACTACACTTACTTCTCGATATACCATGTTAAAATAAATGCCATATTTATTCAGAATATCACAATGCAAAAATAGAACTCTCTCCTCCTCTGTGAGAGCTAATACAGCACTATGGGGGGACACATGATATGATACCTCAGGTCTTTGGGATTAGCTTCTAAAATCAAAAAATTTACAAGTTATACACAGCTAGTTTATGATACAAGATATATACAATGGCATAATTGCAGTGTAGAAAAGTGATGTTTCCAAAATACAACTTTTGTCATTTACACAAAATGTATTCTGTCAGTTTCTCTCCAGGGCCTCCCCACTCAGCCTAACAGCAGTGCTCCGGCCTTCGTCCGTCTGGATGACCAGCAGCGCGTGGAAGCTGCCTGTGGCTGTGGGGCGGAAGTGCACAGGGATGTGGATGTAATGCCGGGCCCTGCAAAAAGGAGCGGGAGGGGAGGAGAGGAGTGGTACATGGCAGCCCAGGGCCCCTAGATGACATGCAGTTGCTGGGATGTCTGGGTCCCTCACTGCAAGGATTCCCAGGAACCAACCCAGAAGACACAGCCACTGACCCAGTGCCTGTTCGGCACACACAGGGCCCACACTTGAGCCCCACTGCCACCAGATAATGAAACAAAGCTGGGCTGGACTCTCACACACCTGGCTACGCTCGTGCATTCCATGAAAACAGACTGTGCCCCACTCAGCCCTGGCCTCGCAGACTTCCCTGGACCGAGCACTCACCTCAGAGAGTATCTGAAGTGCTTGATGTAGAACGGCGCTCTGGGGGGCAAAAACCTCAGCTGGAATAGTGAGAAACACTTATGAAGTCATGCTAATTTGGAGTCAGTACACGCAACACACACCCCACATCACTGTGATTAAAGACTCATTCTACAGGCTTGGGCACAGCCATAAAACTAGGTAAGACAACAAAGGCTCAGGTAATTAAAATACACTTAGGAGAGTTTTAACACAAACTCACTCCAGTTCTGACTATAGTAAATGGCATTGGAAATATGCCTGTGTGAGACAGAAAACAGAGCAAATAGTAAAAAAAAAAATTAAAATATGAAAAGAAAACTTGATTTTAAAAGGAGGGATCATGAACTTTTTTTTTTTTTGTCTTTTTCGTTTTTATTGGTACCAGGAATCAAACTCACGACCACACACTTGCAAGGAAGGCGCTTACGCCGCTGAGCTAAATCCCCAGCCCCGGATCATGAACTTCTAATGAATTTCCAATCATTACTAGGTCATTTTAAAAAGTTAACTTGTTATTTAAGTTGTAACTTAAATATAACCTAATTAGGAGAGACACTTTTCACAGTCGGGGAAAGGCTTGTGGCACAGGTGAAAGCAACCACTCCTCACCGAGTGTGTGACGAAGGAGTTGTTCCGCAAGCTGACCTTCAGGGCCCGAGATTCTCCCACCTGGGTGGGCAGGAATGTGTAGGCGTCCTTCGGGGCATACACGCCTCGATGGCTCTCATCAGGCAGTCTGTAGGGACAGTGTGAAAGGAACCATAGGAGAGCTACAGAAACAGACTGCTGCTGTGGGCTGTGGCACCCGTGCTGCAGCACAGTGACACTGACACCACCTGGAGATGGCTCTCACCTCACAGAGTTGCTGAGCACCGCCTCCATCTCTGAGTCATGTCACCAGGGTCTGTCGCCTGGGGCACATGGGTGCACACCATCCTGGGAACCTTCAGGCAGCCTGGCCCCAAGTCACAGCCTGGGCCAGGGGCCACTTGGGGCAGCTCCAGCTTTCTGGGCTCCCTCTGTCCCCTTCCCAAAGGAAAGGACACTCTGACCATCCAATGGACCTGTACGCAGTGTGTTGGGTCCTCCAGGGCACTTCCAATGCCTGACATGCACTCTGACTCAGCCTGAGCCAGGGGCCACAGGCCTGTCTCAAGGCCGGCACTGCTACTGGCTCCTGGGACTTTCCCCAGACATAAAACCACTGCTGTGGTCCATCTCAAACCTGACTGTACCTGTTCCAGACACCTGGGAACCTGCACCCCACCACGTCCCTGGGCCAGACAGCTAAGGCCTGCAGACCCCAGCCTTGTGCTCCCAACAAGGCTTTCTACAAGGACCTGGGATCATAGCCGGGCTCCTTCCCACTCTGTGCCTGCCTCCTCCCTCAGCCACAGTGTCCCTGCACCCTGCCCAGCTCCTCCATGCAGGGTCCTTTCCTGAATGCTGAAGACTCAGCCATCTCACTCCAGGTTCCTGTCTCTTCCCCTACAGTGCTTACCAGTGGGGGGGGGGGGGCTGCTATCTCCAGCACCCACCACAGAGCCAAGGCTGAGCTCAGCAATGAGACCATGATGAGTGACAGCATGGAGCAACTGATCAAGAACATGCGTTCTTTAAAGGGCTCTCTTTCCAAAATGCATGCTGCACTTATTAAAAAATAAATGACCAAATTTATATCAAAACCAGCAGGTACTAATATATGCTCTTTTCCTAAGCATCTTCTTCCAGAATTAAGTTAGACCTAACTATTAATTAGGATCCTGAGAAACATTTCCATCAAGTAGAACACTTAAATATCAGCAATAAAGATGGGAAACTAACTTTATGTTTTCAAGACTTTAAGAATCTATTTTCATATGTTACTTATGGCTTTGAAAAATGGTACTATTCTTTAGGCTATCTGGCAACAACACATTTATCATGTGCCCCAGCAAATTTGGGGAAAAATAGGCATTTCTACCTCAAACGAATAAAAACACTCACAGAAATGCACATGCAGTAACATTCATAGCACCTTAACTTCTAACACTCCAAAATTCTACAACACTTAAATGCCAAGAGAAAATGTTCATATGATAAAATAACAAAAAGGAACAAACGATAGATACCCCAGAAAAGAAAAGAACTCTGGAAAATTTACAAAAGAAGGAAAACAGCACATAAGCACTCAGGAAGTTCAAGCAAAACTCAGTTCTGAGGACAGAAATCAGAACACAGCACATCTGGACACCAAGGCCCACAAACACGTGTGTCATGGGCGACAGGAATACCTGTCCTGACCAGAGGACATGCAGGTGTAGCCAGACCACCGCCCTAACACACAGCGTACCCAGGCAGGGGGGCATCCGGGGTGGCGCGTCTGGGAGGTATGGTGGCCACATCTGCCTTCACCAGGCTGTCGGTATGGGCCTGGGTGACTTCATGCCCCGTCCTGGTGCTCTGTGGAGAAAAAGGGGCGGGGTGGACACTCTAGGACCTAGGACATTTATCTACTGCAATTCTTCTTTTTAAAAAGATACGAAAACCCCTGAAATGCAAGTGCTAATCACATTCCCTAATCTCAGACACACATGTGCACATGTGTTTCATGCCACACACGGGCACAGGTGCCAAGGAGCTCAAACATGCCAATGAACAGAATGAAGTGAAAATGAAGATTATGGGACCACAGAATTAGTGAAACTGAAATGGTGTTAGGAGAACATTCTGCATATTCAGACATCTTTCCTATCAAGAGTCATTCAGGATTTAAATGTGCAAAGCAGTTTGCTTACATGCAACATAATACTCACTTGTCCAGAAAGCTGGAATCTCAATGTGTATCTCAAGTGAGGTTCCTTAACAGGATGGCACTCAACATCCCAAAACTGGGCATAATCCCCCTGATCTCTCGGCAGGAACGTGATGGAGACCTGCAGACACAGCCAGAAGAAATTTCAGACCAGACTCTGACGTGACACACAGCGCCGGCCTCCCAGCTCAAAGTTTGCCTGCAGACCCCAAAGGAACAAAGGCTTTTGCACACTAGTTATCCCACGAAGTAAGAGAACAACCTGAGCAATTTCTAGGGTGCCTAGTACTAACTACTGTTTAAGACTTCAGAACACACTCCTCAAAACATACAAGGGCTCCTTAGAGAAAATATACTTGCCAAGTACTAGAGGCGCCAGGCACAGGACCCTGGAGGAGGGTCCTGGCCAGAAACAGTCCTCTGTCCCAGCCAGGCAAGCACCAGTGGGACTCCCCTGGAAATGTGACACTGGGTCAGTAGTCCTGACCACACAACGCAGGCTCACACACGCCCCTGTGTACCACTCGGTGGCAACAGGCTGCGAGGTATATAGCAGACAAGTGACAGTCAAGTCCCCAAAGGCAGACAGGCACGTGTCAGGGGCCTCATTTCAGCTCATGCAGGACCTAGATGCAATAATCACAGAGCTCAAGAGCTAGGAGCAGCAGGATCAGGACCATCTCACATGCCCAATCCTAGGCTGCTTGCCTTCCCTGCCTGTCTTCCCTGTGGCCTGCACTCTCCCCAGTGCCTGTCCTCTACCATGTGACACCAGGCGTGTGCCCCAGCTGTAGAGCCTGCCTGGCACCTCTTCTGGGTCCTCCTGGAGCTGTACCCGACTAGCTGCTCCAGGGAACTCAGATCTCCCCAACTTGCCATTCTGCACGCACAGCCCAAGGGCCTTTGCCTGTTCACAAAGCTGTGCAGCCACAATTACAACCCAACCTGAGGTGCTACTGGCCCCTGGACCCACTGCTAGGAGCGGCCTGCGACCCACCTCAGCTCAGCCCCAGCACACGTGCCCATCCTGCAAGTCACACACCAATGGGGCCATGCTGCATGGTCTTCCATGCCTAGCTTGCTCCACGCTGCACTGTGTTTTCAATGTTCTCATGTGCACATTTCCCTTTCCTGGCCACTGTGAAAATACTGCAAGGAGCACAGGTGCCTGAGTTTTTGTTAGAACTCTTGTTTCGACTTTTTTAAAGTGTTTTTGCAGATGCAGAGTTACTGGGTCAAGCAGCAATTCCACCTTTAGCTTCCAAGGAGCCGCAGGCTGCCAATCATAGCCCACGCAACATGTAGCTCTCCATGCTGTCCACATCCTCAATGACATCAACTTTCCAATCTCTGCCGGATCAAAATGACAGCCCACTGCTGGATTTGACTGCATTTTGCTAATGCTTAGTACTTATCATAATCTTAAGTTCACTGTCTACTTGTGTATTTTCTTTGGAGAAATGTCTACTTAAATCTTTGCTTTTGTCAGACATGTATTCTACCACTGAGCTACAGCCCCAGCCCTCCTTTAATTTAAATTTTGAAATAGGGTCCAAGGTGCCCACGTAGCCTTTAACTTGGCATCTTCTTGCCTCCTCTTCTTAAGTAGCTAAGATTACACGTATATATTATCGTGTCAAGTTGCTCATATTAAAACTGTATCAGGCAGACACAGTTAATGCATGCCTATAATCTCAGACTTAGGAGGCTGAGGCAGAAGGATTGTCATGAGTTCGAGATCAGTCTGGTACACAGTGAGTTGAAGGCAGGTCTGAATTACAGCAAGATTTGTCTCAAAAACCCTGTATCACTTGTTGTATTGAGTTGTAAAAGTTTATTACCAAAAAGTTCATTTGTGTATTCTAGAAGCAAGTCTTTTCTCAAATATATAATTTGAGAATATTTGCCCCACCCTGTGGGTAGTCTTTTTTACTTTGATGATGCTACCTTTTCTTTTATAGCTTGTGCTTTATTGTATTGGTGTCACATGTAAGAAAGCAAAGCACAATCTATTTTTCTAGAAGTTTTATGTTTTTTGCCCTTACATTTAGGGTTCATTTTGAATTAATTTTTTTTTTACATTGTGCTAAGGATTCGATTCAATTCCTTTACCTCTGGATATTCAGTTGTCCTGACATCATTTGTCAAAAAACATTTTCTCCACTGAATTACCTTAGCATCCTTTTCAAAACTATCTAGTGAGCCACAGGTGTGGGGTTTATTCTGGCTTTCTCAACTTTCTCCCACATATGTATGGAACTCCCACATATGTATGTGTATCTCCTCTACATCAATACTAATCTGGTATGTTTTTTCCCAGCTGGGGATTGAGACCCACTGACCTACGCCCCAGCTTTTTTATTTAGAACTGAGGCCTTCCTAAGAAGTTACCCAGGTCAGCCTCAGACTTACTCTCCTCTGGCCTCAACTATCACCCTGTGATATAAATCTTTCAATTTTGTTGTTTTTCCAGGTTGTTTTGCTTTGTTCCTTGTATATTCATAACACCAGGTTCTCAACTTCAAAAGCAAAATAAAAACAAATTCTTTTTTAAAAGCTATCTGGGGTTTTGAGTGGGATTATACTGAATCTGCACCCTACTCAGGGAGCAGTGCTGCTGTGATGATGCTCCTCATCCCCGCCCCCCGCTGCCTGTCCTGCAGCACTCTCGCTGTAACCCCTCTTCGAAGCAGAGCTTCTCTTCAGCCATGTGTCTGCTCCACGTTGTGCTCTGCTTCGGGTGGAGTTTGGGAAATGAAGTAAGTGATACTTGTACAACTGTATCTTTCCAAAGCAGTGAGGAACTCTGACGGCCCAGTACAGACCAGGGAAGTAGAGTTCATGGCCACTACCAAGGCTGCTCAAGGACTCTTGGTAATCAATTGTGAATTCTCAGTTCTACTCTAGGACTCATCAGAGTCTGAAAGTCTATGTAAATGGGCTGGTATCACGTAAATGGGATAGTTTCTACAACTACCTGTAAGTACAACAAAATGTAAGTTATGAGGTAGAGTGGACATCAGGGCCCACTAGGAGATCCAGAATGAAGCAGGACATCAGAGGTCTGCAGCAGCTAGAGGCTCCACTGCCTGTGAAGTCACTCTGGTGTTCCTACCTAGCTAGCCTAGCAGTGCCACAAACAGCCGCCTGACCTAATAGCGGGCAGGAAAAACTGTCATCTAGCCCAGCAAAGTGTGCTGTTGCTCTGGCAGCTGCAGCTATGCATGGATAAGTTCCTCACAGCAAAAGCTTCCCTCCCGCCACTGGGCAGTGCACAGCGCCATGCACACTGCCCCGTCCTCCTGTGCCTGCCCTGGGAGGCCACTCTTCCTCGGGGCCTACTGGCTTCGAGACAGGGACAGCCTGCAGAGGATGAGTCCATGAGCCTCCTGCCCAGGAGCATCATATTTCTCCCACATGGTGATGGGCCAAAGCTCACCTTTTGAGTTCCATGGCTTCCCAGCGTACCAGAAATGGGAGCACACCTGAATGCCGTGTAGGTAGCTCGAAAGACATCTCCACTCTCATCAACTCCCTACAAGGCAGTCATTCACACAATCAAAGATGAAAGCTGTCACACCTGTCCCAGGAACACTACTACTTCTTGGGTGCTAGGCATCCTGGGCAGCCATCATTTCTCCATGTGGAGGCTGTGTGGTAACCTCCCAGGCCACAGCAAGCATCAGCACACTGTTCACAAGGTCAGAGGACTGTCCTGCCCTCCCAGCCCCCAGGCTAGGGAGGTGACTTCACAAGCTGTGAGGCAGGAATGGCTTTTTCTCTAGTCAGTCCCAGGACTGTCTTTTGTGTGCATTTTTGTCAGGATTGTGGCTCGAGTTATGACTTAATGGCCACACAGAATACATGGCAGAGAGGGCTGCATGGAGTGCAGGGCCCCACTCCCTCCTGCCTCGGATGCTCTCGGAGCTCAGAGAGGAGCCACATGTGTGCACACCCTGTGCTAAGTAACAAAGGCCCCCTCTCCTTCCAAAAAGTTATTTCAGCTAAAAATCAGGAGGATGAGAAGGCACAATTAAAACAGAGCAAGTGTGATTTCCACACCACCTGACTCTCAGAACCCCTGAGTGAAGATGGCCCCAGTCAACCCACAGGGAGACACGTCCACCCTGGCCCCAGATCTCCCCACTAGCCCAAGAGTACAGCAGATAATCTAGGCTGGCAGGACTGACCTTGACGTATGGTGGGGCAAAGGATGACAGGTGCCACCTCACGTCCGTGGGGCCGTGATTCTCCAGCTCCAGACAGCTCTCTGAAAGGGGCACAGGGACAGTTCCCTGGGACAGTCCTCAATGACACCCTGGACACCCTGAGGGCCCCACTAAGGTCCGACAGGAGCCACAGGGTTGCTAGGGCATCAGGATCAGACAGTCCACTTGGGTTTTACTCTAAATATTTCACATCCAGGGCACTCCCATCCAGGACCACACAAATGTCACACATAAGGCGTCACCAGACAACCACCACCAGGGAGAAGATGGAGGGGAGCATATGGGTGGAGTCCAGGCTGGATGCCATACAGAAGGGTCAGAAGAAAATCCAAGAGCAGCAACCCCAGGAGTGTCACGGGCACAGAACTATGAGAAGGTGATGGGGAAGGGAGAGGAGGGGGAGGCAGTGGACACAGTGGAAGGGGGTGTGAGCAGTGTAGGGCCAGACCAAGAACCTCTGGAACAGATGTGTAGGGATCTCCCCTGACCTCACATTAGGAAAGGGCCAGAAGGCAGCGAGGACACTAGTGCTGGAGGAAGAGGCTGGCTAGGTCCTGGGAGCTGGAGGGCAGGCACAGGAGGATGGGGCAGGCCAGGTCCTGGGAGCAGGAGGGCAGGCATGGGAGGAAGAGGCTGGCTAGGTCCTGGGAGCTGGAGGGCAGGCACAGGAGGATGGGGCAGGCCAGGTCCTGGGAGCTGGAGGGCAGGCACAGGAGGATGGGGCAGGCCAGGTCCTGGGAGCTGGCGGGCAGGCACAGGAGGATGGGGCAGGCCAGGTCCTGGGAGCTGGAGGGCAGGCACAGGAGGATGGGGCAGGCCAGGTCCTGGGAGCTGGAGGGCAGGCACAGGAGGATGGGGCAGGCCAGGTCCTGGGAGCAGCAGGGCAGGCACAGGAGGATGGGGCAGGCCAGGTCCTGGGAGCAGGAGGGCAGGCACAGGAGGATGGGGCAGGCCAGGTCCTGGGAGCAGGAGGGCAGGCACAGGAGGATGGGGCAGGCCAGGTCCTGGGAGCAGGAGGGCAGGCACAGCAGGATGGGGCAGGCCAGGTCCTGGGAACAGGAGGGCAGGCACAGGAGGATGGGGCAGGCCAGGTCCTGGGAGCAGGAGGGCAGGCACAGGAGGATGGGGCAGGCCAGGTCCTGGGAACAGGAGGGCAGGCACGGGAGGATGGGGCAGGCCAGGTCCTGGGAGCAGGAGGGCAGGCACAGGAGGATGGGGCAGGCCAGGTCCTGGGAGCAGGAGGGCAGGCACGGGAGGATGGGGCAGGCCAGGTCCTGGGAACAGGAGGGCAGGCATGGGAGGGAAGAAGTGTCCAGGTCCTGGGAGCAGGAGAGTGTACATGGGAGGAAGGGGCAGGCATTGGAGGAAGGGGCTGGCCAGGTCCTGGGAGCAGAAGGGCAGGCACAGGAGGAAGGGGCTGGCATGGGAGGGAAGAGGTGGCCAGGTCCGGGAACAGGAGGTGGGCACAGATGCCAGGAGAAGGCTCAGCGGTCTCTCTAGGCTCTGGGCTTCTGTTTCCATGTGAGGTGAGGGAAAGGGTGGGAAAAGGCAAGAGACAAGCAGAGAGGGAAGGAACAGAGCTCAGGGAGAAGGGCTCAAGTGAGGATGGAGGACACACGCTGAGGAAGGCCTTGTCCAGAACTCCTACTCTGCTGCCAGGTGACCGTGATGACCAAACAAGGGCTCAGAGAGTCTAAAGGGACCCTGTGTGGGTGGTGCAGAGGGTGAGCAAGCTGGGGGACTCAGTAATGGCCAGGAGCATCAGGCTGGGCTGGAATGAAGGGCAAGGTTCAGGATAGCCCGGAAAGGGAAACGGAGGCTGGAGATAGCACCGGCACAGGGCAGAGATAGGGAGACACAGGAGAGGGAGGTGGGAGGATGACCAGGTTTGAGAGGAGCACTGGCAACACCGAGCACCATGACCTCAGCCATACCACTGTGCAAGGGCAGCCATGGAGGCAGCCTCTCCAGGGTCTCAGCATGTGCCCTTCACCACTTTCCCCCTCCTCTCTCCCTTATCTCCTAACTTCCAATTTATGAACCCTGGCCAGAGCTGAGGAGTTTAAACAGTGATACAGTGTCCGGGTTTCACGTTTCAAAATTTAGCTCCCAGGATTTGGGCATGGTGGTGCATGCCTAGAATCCCAGCATTCAGGAGCAGGGGAAGGAGGACTGCCACAAATTTGAGGCTACCCTCCTTAGAGGCCTCATAGTGTGCAAGGCTGACCTAGACTACATGGCCACACCCTGTCTCAAAAATACAAAGAAAAGATTAAGCTCCCAAATCCAGCCTTTCTCTGAAATCACTCAACACTGACACCTGGATTTTCTGCTGCCTGGGGGTCTGTCCTCACTAGACTTAGGTGGACTAGCATAGGATGTTGGGGGCTGGGGGCCGAAGGGTTCCCTAGCACCAGGGAGGTTGTGGGTGCACCCTCAGTGCCTTGATGAGCTGAAAACAAAGAGTGCTCGAACCTGGACATAGCACTGGACATCTGACCCACATCACCATGTGGCACACACACTACCTGAGGTTTTTCCAGGTGCTGTTTCAGGAAAGGTGATGGTCTTGCTTTTTATCTGCACTTTCATGGAAGGAGGCTTTGCCACCAGTTTTGTCAAATGACTCACAGAAGGCTCAGATGCCTGGAGGAGACTTCCAAACGTTCTGGAGGCCAAACAAGATAAACGTTCTTCCTGAGTCAAATCTTCTCGAATTTGAACTTTCACAATTCTCTGAAAAAAGCCAAGTTAAAGAAATAACGCACAAATATAGTGACTGTTTTTAATAGAAGCCTAATTTTTAAGAGGAACTGGCAAATAATGAAATACTGAATTTAGAAATTAAAGTTTGTGTAGATCTCAAAGAAAATCAGTCTCTGACTCGATTTCCTCTCCTCTTAAAACCTTCACCTCTTGGGGGCTGGGGATTTAGCTCAGCGGCATAAGCGCCTGCCTTACAAGCAGGCAGTCATGAGTGATCCCTGGTACCGATAAAAACGAAAAAGACAAAAACAAAAAAAAACCCTTCACCTCTTACAAGGAAATTCTACAAATCAGCAGTGGCTTTCAGGCCCACTTTTCACCATAGCCTCAAGGGCATCATCCAGACACATGAGGCTGAAGGTCTACACTAAGCACTGAACCATACCAGACCTGCAGCAGGCTGGCAAGCAAGTTACAGACCTCGAAGCTGAGGCCACAGGACAAGAGGAATGTGCACAGTGATTGGCCCACATACCTCCTCTCCATTGTCACAGTGCACATACACCGAACCACTCCAAGGCAACATCGACTGCTTTGTGGATAAGGAGGGATTAGGACTCAGAAGAATTTGCTGTTTACTCCTTAAGAGAAGAAGAATTAAAACTGTAAATATTCTATACTTTCACAGCAGACAGACAAAACAGAGCTGCCCACACTGTTCCACCCATGACTGCCTACCCCAGCGCTGGGAAACGGTAGAGGACCAGGCCAGTGCACACCCAGCTTCCGTCTCCAAGTCTATTGTCAACACAGGTGAAGGCAGAAACCCATAAACCCAAGGGCAGAGTGCATGAAAATAAGGCATACATAAAAAGCAGCCTGAAAGCAATCTAAAATAAAACTGCCTAGAGCAAAAGGGCGGGGACTGACAGTCCTGAGTCACTTGATACAAAGACAGCTGGGATGTAGGAGGGGCAGGGAGGTGGCTACGGAGAGAAAAGGGTTTCTTAGTACTGGTCTCCAAGACCACGGGTACCAAGGAAATGTCAATGGGGTTCATGTGACCAGATCTTCAACTTCAAGAAATCACCAGTTACAGGTCAAGAAGGACAGGGTGGGATTATTTCCCACAGCCACAGCCAAGCACAGAGGCTGTGTAGTGTAAGCAGAAAGGCTGTCCAGCCACACCCTTTCTGATTCCTGTGGCTATACACAGCAGCTCTCATGCAGGGCAGTGGGCACTGCAGCACAGCAGGGCTTTCCCAAAGTGGCAGCCACACCTCCTCTCAATCTTAGGTGAAAGCACACTCAGCATCTTGCGACAGTAAAGCCTCGTGCTGCGTGGCAAAGCTACATCCCCATGACGAAGCAGCTGTGGGAAGAGCTCCATGCCAAGGGAGGCCTTGCAGCACCGTGGCTTCATACCCAGGGCAGTGCACAGGGTAGCTGGCCCTGAGGCTGCTTTGCAGAGCAGCCCAGGAAGGAATAACAGCAAGGACAGAAAAATGTCCTCCAGAAAGCTAGCAGCCCACACAGTCCAAACTGAGGAGATGGAAGACACAACCAGCTGGCTTCAGAGACCTCGACACCCTCAGCACATGACCGGTTTATTCCTGGCCATGGGCACCATGGGAAGTGGACCACATAAGAAGGCCTGCAATGTCCTCGTTCCCAGGTACCACACCACGCACATGTATCCCAAGCATCTCCTGGGACAGTGCCCACAGCATGTGACCTCCACACCTGTGCATGGGTCGGGAGCTCACTAACTCTCCACTTTCACCAGTTGTCCATTCATTTATTTATCCCATAGTGTGAGGGACCAAAGCCAGGGCTGTGCATCAAGGCGCATGTTTTCTCACTGAAGAGCACCCTAGCCCCTGAACAAACTGAAAGGACTCAGAGGTCACCATGACAGCACCCAAGGGACATGGGAACTCAGGAGACTACTCACTCTGGTGTGACAAGCCCATGCTCCGGGGTGACCGTCAGGCAGTGCGCTGGCCAGTACAGCTCAAATTTCAGTGTCCTGACAGAGTTATTCACAATCTGGAAATGTGCGGTTTTGGCCATGTTACCTACTATGTCAGAAGAATAAATGTTACTTACACTTAAAACAGGGAAAGACACATGTCAATAACAAAAAAATTCCAAATCCAGTTTAATTTGCTCTTTTTCTCAACTGTTCTATTTTAAGAATTTCAAATTCAGTTAAGTGTTAGAGGCTACAAAGACACTGGCAGGTGATCATGTGACAGAAGAACAGAAAGTTCATATTGCTGCTGCGAGGCACTAGCTTAAGCACTCATGTGTGATTTGGCCAATGGAGCCTGAGCAACCAGGTAAAAAGCAACCCATGTGGCCTTTGGGCTGTCAGGCAGCCCTGTCCTAGGTGCATACTGCCCACGCACAGCCTGCTGGGCACAGACCTAGGCTCCAGACCCAGGTTCCAGCTGCACCATGGCTGAGGTACTCACATGCCGAAGGGGCCAGCAGGATCAAGTGCTCGGGCCACACGGCCCATGTCTTTGCAGTAGCTGAGGCAGGCTCCTGCAGAGGGGCAGCTCGAGGGGGAAATGGAGAGCCTTGAGGACCTCTGACAGGAAGGACATCCAGAGAGATGTTGCCACTGTGCCTTCCAGACAGCTCTGAGTCACTGAGAAAAGAGTTACAATTACATCAGCAGAGAGAGAAAAGCCAAAAACGAAGAAAAGCCAATGCTTTGCAGACTTCACACTAATTCTTCATAAATCTAATACATGAAGACAAAACTAAAAGGGCACCACAAATGCTGTGGTTTTCAGTGAGTAGAAACCCTCCCTGCTTTGTATTTTATAAGGTGGGGCACAGGGCAGTGCTCACTGAATGTGCAAAAGGCCTGGAGCTCAATACCAGCACCTTGAAAGGAAGAAAAGTGAAGACAGTTGGGCAGACAGCACAACAAACTTTTAATGAGAAAGCAGAGCAATCACCTTTTTTTCTGTGCCTGCCTTCTGTCTCTAAAATTGATGAAAAGATTTACATTAAAATAACCCAGTATTAAGAAGAAAAACAAAATGCACTGCACAGCGGCAACTGGCGTCCCACACTGATGACACAGTACGCTAAGGACAAGGGTACCTGCGCAGACACTTGGAGAGACAGGCAGCTTAGCCCAGGAGGGTTTCCTTACATGTTTTCTAATAAGCCCGAAATTATAAAAAATTATAATTCAATTGAAATTTGCTGCACACATACAATCCTGGCACCAAGGGAGGCTGAAACAGGAAAATCCTAAATTAGAGCCCAGCCTGAGCAATTTGGTGATTCTGTTCAAAATTTATAAAGGACTGGAGATACAGCTCAGTGTGAAGGTCCTGGGTAAAAAATGTTTGTAATCAGCAATGCACATAACACACTGGAGTATAACAACAGTACTCGACTTCTGCTGCCCTGTGGTGGACTCCAGTTCAGCTCCCCGAAGCCAACACCGGCCAACAGGGATTCCTACCCCTCCCTTCTGCCTGTGTCCTCAGTCGGCTTGAAGGTGAGAGTCCTGGCTGTGCCACCTAGGCTGCCTGTCCTCTGAGACCAGCCCTGACGGCGCAGGGACTGTCCAGACCCCGCATGCACATTCCACTGTCTGCGCCCTCTCGCTGCAGTCAGTAGCATGTATGGTGGGGACACTGAGCTGGGGATGCTCAGTGGACAACCTTGTCAGGATGAGGAGGAGGAAAACAGTTACTGCATGCAGAAGGGTGCGCTGCTGGGGGCAAGGTGCACTCACACATGGTAAATGGGAGCACACACAGACACATGTGTTCATGCACCAGTTTGTACTTTTCCTAGCTCTGTCCCCCATGACACACTGGAAAGCAATAAGATCAAACACAGGAGCCCACCAGCACTGGCCTCTGGCTCCCAAGGCTGTCAGAGCAGGACAGGGAGTACATAGGAGCCTGCAGCACCCTATCCCGTATGCAGGGAGTAAATGGGTGCTCAGCAGTAACTAAACTCAGCACCTGGCAACTTATAAACAGTGTGATTCAGGCAACAATGACCAACAGATGCCAAGGTCTGCTGAGCTCAGGGTCCCTGAAGGCTCAGTTGCTGGACCCTTGCAGTGTCTGCAGCAATGATGGAGCCTGGGGAAGGTGAGTGGATCACCAGTGCTAATCTGTGGACAATCCACACTTTGGTGGTGTTACTGAAAATGATAAAACTGAGGAGGTGGGGCCCAAATGGATGAAGCCGGCCATAGGGAAGCGCATGGCCTCAGAGGCTGCTTCTGTCCCCAGCCCCTGTCTCACTACCTCCTGGCCTTCAAGGTGGCAGCTCTGGTCCAGTGTACCCTCTGCTAGGAAGCTTGCATGACACAGCCCAGAGGGAGGGAGACCACAACCAGGATGAAGTCTCTGGAACCAAGATGGTGTAAACCTTCCCTCCCTGCCTTGAGCTGCTACTAAGAAAAGCCGACTGACAGGAGATGACTCAGCACCTCCAAGCATCTGCCCAGGGACACTTACAAGGTACTTCAGGGAGAAAGTGAGGCCAAGTGCTGAAATGCCATAGTAACAGGGTAATAGGCACTAACCACTACCTGACAGAGTGCTGAAAACACAGAAGCATTTCTGCGCTATTTCACCAAAAGTGTGAAACCAAAATCTGTAAACTGAAATTGGGTGATATTTTACAAACTGCCTAAACTTGAAAAATCAATGTCACTGGTATGAAAAGGGTTAACATCTGATTTGCAACCGAAGGTCTCTGACTCTGTGGTCGGAACCAGTCATTCCAGGACAGCAACTGGTCTGCTGTGCTCCAGAATAAAGGGAAGCCTGGCTTAGAGGAGTGATTGCAGACTTAGACCAGACCCCTGCTCTATGGCTCAACTATGGAGGACAGCGTGGGACAGCAGCAGGCATGGGTGCCACCTGTGGATGAGGTGACACTGCTGTATCAGTGGTAGGCACTCTCCTTTCCACTGGGTCCTTGTGAATCTGTGGGAGGAGCTATGAGCACACCCAGGGCTCGTCAAAGGTCATCATCTTGCAGGTGATGCTTACTTAGATGGGCTAGAGAAAAGCCCCACTCACATGAAGAATGACAGTCACATGGTCAAATGTGGTTAACAACCAAGACCTGAGCACACAGTCTAGGGTGGCTTTATGTACCATCTGTAAACTTTCCTCAAAGTTTGAAATGATTTCAATTATGCCAATAAATAAAGATGAAATAAACACTTGAGAGAAGATAAAGTACAGGGTAATTTCTATAATCTACAAAAGATGTTTGCTTGCATATTTGTATTACCTTTTAGATTCCAAGCTAGCTTGGGAAGAAGGCTGAAGAAATTCTCTACCAGAAATAGTGTCTCGGAATTCTCCAATTATTGAAAGGATAATTTTACGCATGTTTCCGTAAAAGAGCTGAATATCATTAGGCCGTTCAGGAAGATCGTAGACTGAAAAAAAAAAAAAACGATGTGAAATACACCCGTTCCACACAAGCGTATCACAAAGCAGCAGGTGAAGTTATCTGCTGACAGCACAGAGCACTGCTGCTCCATGTTGGGCAGGTGGCAAGAAGCAAGGGCATCTCACACTCGGAAGCAGCTCAGCTCAGAGCCTGAGTGTGTAGCGCCCTTGCAACTAGGGAGCGCCATGACCTTCTGCAAGTTCATGAGCCTCTCTGAGCTTCCATTTCCTCCATTACAACCTGGAACAGCCACCTATCTCAGCAGATGCTGGGAGCCTTAAAACAAGAATGCTTCTGAAGATAAATGTATGGAAACAAACACCATATGAGCCAGGCATGGAGATACATGCCTGTAATCCCAGCACTCAGAAGCTGAGGCAGAAAGGTTGCTGCAAGCTTGAGGCCAGCCTGGGCTACACAGAGTGTTCAAGGGCAGTCTAAACAGTGAGGCCCTAACACAGTGAGACCCTGTATTTAAAAAAAAAAATAGAAAACATCAAGCACCCATATGAAATATACTGTAGTCTAGGAACTATTCTGGTCCCTCAAAGATGAGGAACTAAGGGTAGAGTGGTTAAGGACACACATGTGGAAACCAGGTACTGTAAGCATCCCCCATTATTTCTGGATTAACCCATCATATGTGCCTGCTCCAACGCTGTATTGGCCTCTTTGCCCCTGTGGACTCCTGCAACCACCTGCAATCAGCCCTTCCCGCTGCGTGCTCCTAAGTGTGTGCGTACCAGCAGCACAGCATGGTTCAGTCCGCTCTCTTGTGGGCTGGTGCAGAAGAGATGCTGGCCTGTGCCAGAGACAGGTCCTGAACTGTGCATCAACTCGAAACCCTCTATCATCCTACACGCCTGTGCCTGCCCCTTGGTGTGCAGGACCCAGATGCCTGAATTCCCGAGATCAGGCCACCCTATAGCACCCCTACCAAGCATAGAGATCCTTTATCTTCAGCACCTTGCATTTCAGATGCAATATAAAAATTGGGGAGGAGCTATCACCAGAAACCTAACCACTTAATACTATGTTGTGGACACTGCCAACTTACTTAGGTTATTTTTACCAAAATGAGATCTGAGACAGAAAAATAAACCATCAGGGGACACCCATCCCCAACAGATAATGTTAATTTTTACTCTGATTTTAACAGCAAGATTACAGCAGTTTCCTACCTTTCCATGCTGCTCCACCTCCCCTTCCCATATGACAGAGATCTCACACCCATGCCTCCACGCCTGGCTGTGCCCTTCATAGCCCCTCCTCGCCCAATTATCCATCAGCCTCTGCAGGTCAGATGCTCAAAGCTATAAACCTGGCACTTGGAATAACTACCTTTGTTCTATAACTTAACTTGTTTCTCTTTTCTGCCATGAACTATACAAAAAGATCTTGAATCCTGTCCTAAGAGCTCAGAATTTGGAGTTTTAGGGGCCGAGAATATAGCTCAGAGGCACAGTGCCTGCCTGGCAAGCACAAGGTCCTAAGTTCAACTGCCAGTTCCAAAAAAAAAAAAAAGGAAAGCAAGAAAGAAATTGGAGTTTTATCTCCCCTGAGTCTGCAGGCTAAATACAAACCTGGATCCCTCCACTTCTCTAAATTGCCACTCATGTTTCCTGCACCATTGGAAAATCCAAAATTCCTATAATACTTGGTTTGCAAAACCAAAACTATGCAAAAAAAAAAAAAAAACTTGGTTTCCAAAAACACTATTATGTAAAAAAAAAAAAAAATTTTTTTTTTTTTTTGGTACCAGGGATCAAACTCAAACTCATGACCTTGCACTTGCCAGAGAGGTGCTTGTGCCACTGAGCTAAATAAACCCCCAGCCCTCCTATACAAATTTTTAAAATATTTTGTTTTCTCTTTTTAAAAAAATGTTTTAAGATAAGCCCTCACTATGGTTCCAGTTAGCCTTGAACTCATTATACACCCTTGGCTGGTCTCAAGCTTTTGATGATCCTCCAGCCTCAGCCTCCCAAGTACTAGAATTATAGGTGTGAACCACCATGGCCAGCAAAAAAGCCAGTATTTTCTTAATAAATGTTTTTCTTATTTTTCATATTATTTAATAAATTCATACTGTTTTAATGCTTAGAAACATTCTGCATAATTAAACTACCCCTATTGTCAGGCACAGATTACTTTTAACTTCCTGCAATGATAAAAAATACTATAGTAAAACTTTATGCATGCATTTTTACATAATTTGTATGTCTTGATGTGTTTACTTTGTGTAAGTGAAAAGCCACTTCCAAATATGCAGACTGTGTTGCAGACTGGGGCTGGCTGTCTGGAGGAGGAGCTTCACATGTCCAGCTTGGATTGCTACCCCCGTCCCATACCTATAAATCCTCCAGGGAGCATGAGTTCACAGTCACTTGTTCTGCAGTCACAATTCACTGAGTTCAGCAGTGACCACCCCTACCTCTTGCTTAAAAGCACACACACACAGGCGCCAGGGATTTAGTCAATGGTCTAAGCACCTGCCTGGCAAGCGCAAGGCCATGAGTTCGATCCCTAGCACCAAAAAAAAGCACATTCACAGGACAGGCGTGCTAACACTATAACAACAAAAGTATTTATAAAGCACAACACTTGTGGCTGTCATGACTCCACCAAACATCAGCCTTCTTCCCACACTGGAGAGAAGGGTCCTGCAGCTCAGGGCTGAGCTCTGTCGGTCACATGGCAGTGCTATGCACTACACCCCAGCACAGCTCCTACCCCCATCACCCCACAGCCTGATAGCCCAAAAGGAAGTAACAGGCAGGTGCTAACCTTCATCTACAAGCAGCTCATCCCGGAACACTTCAGCAAAGTCAATGTTTTGCAGCATACTATGTTCTGGAAGTATCCGCTTGATAAGTCCTGGATTGTGCAACAGGGCTCTGCCAGTTTCATTCAAAAACGATTTGATGAATAAAATGACCTTAATTATGTTTCCATTAATGGATCTGGCAAATCCTACTAACTGCATATTAGCATTAGTATATCATGTTTTAGGTCCAATCAAAGTTTTTTTAAAAAGGAAAATCTGTTTTGGAAGTTCTCTCGGAGTTCTATATTGTAAAATTATTAGTCTAACAATGTCAAAGCAAGAACACCAATGTAAGAGTACAAAGAAGAGTAAGATTCTTTTAGTTCTTACATTTTCATTATTTGGTACTCTTCAAATAGTTATCTCAGGGGGAAAAAAACATGCTAAACAAATGGTAAGAAGTCAGAGGAAAAGAATCTAAATTAACATACAGATGTCTGTCTGGTTCATCCCTCAGAATTTTGATGTAAGAATTGAAATATAAACATTTCTATGATATTTAAAATATTAATCACCAAAGGAAATCTCATTACTATAAGTTAATGGGTAAACAGTTCTGAAACTACACTGATTTTTATAGCCTAGGGAGGGGCAAATAGAAAGCAAGGAAGGAAGGAAGGAAGAAAGGGAGGGGGACAGGGAGGGAGGGAGGGAGAAACCCGGTAATCTTATTTCTGCAAATGTCAGCTTCTGTTTGTGAAACAATTAAGCAAAGCAGAGCCAGGTTCAAAGGTGAGCGCCTCACAGCTGGCCTGTTCTAACATCATGAAGCAAGCCATCATTAACTTTTTAAACTTCCCAACAAACCTCAACAAAACATGAAAGACAATTTCCCAAATTCTGCATCAAAACAACATAGTAGAGACAAAACATTAGAAGGAGAGAGGTTCTATTCACCTATAACCTGGGCTGCAGTTTCTTATTTTCTACTAATAGTCCTAACTCAGGTGCTTTGGACCTCTGGTCTAGGAAACTAAACTTCATAATTAAAAAAATCTAGAATTTACCAACTAAGAATGCAACACATTTAAATGACAGCTAGACCTATGTCAATATCCTAAATTAGCCATTTAATTAGAGGAATCAAATTTTATAGAAGTACGTGCTTTAAGTAGCTGCAAGTAGCCCCCAAAATAAACTCTTGGACAAAGGATGTCTTCAAGTATGTTAAGGGAACAGTTACATATGGGTGATTTCTGAAACAGAAGACAACAAGCATATATTCTTACATTATAAACTGCCTGATCTCTACAAAATGTATTCCACACGCCAAAATTCTTGGATGTACAAATCTGGAAAAACCATTTCCTGGGATTAACTTCGTAAGGAATTTTCTAATTTGGGAAATTAACAGCATTTCACTTTATTGCAAGTCTTTGCCATATCTGACTGAACCGAGTTGTCATTTATACATTTAAAAACCACTGTTGTTGGCAATGTGCCAGTACGAATGTTACACAAGCACAACTGTGTTTACACTAAGAACTGCCACTCTAATAGCCTAACTTCAGACATGTATTCTTAATTGCAAAAAAATCATTAATTTGTCACAATGAAATTTTGAATGTTTGCTTTAAGTGTAGATATAGGTTTTAGAAACTAAAAGCAGAAAGAACTGCAACAATGAAGGAAACCAAAATATTTCTGCATTTGAAGGATGAAAAAAGGTAGCTACAAGTAAAACATTCAATACACTGATAAACATTTCAAGTAATACACAGCATTCCTAGAATTTTCTAACTCATGAGTGTTTTAATCTTTCAGTAGTTAACATCTTTTCTGAAACCAATCTACTGCCACCTAATACATCCTCAAGAGAACATCAGGAACACGGTCCAGTAATGAGGTATGGTCTCCTACTGGGTAAAAGCAAAGATGCACAGTACACGTGTCAAGAAAAAAGGTGTAAGGCCAGAAAACACAGGAGATGCCTCATTCCTACTTCACTTCATGCCAACTTACCAGTCTCACAAATCTTAGCAAAAAATTTTTTTCTATGAGTTCACTGATAATAAAGAGGTTCTAAAAATTCCACATCTACCTATAGGCATTATTTTCATTCAATAGTTCTCAACATTTTCTATTCTAAGATACAAAATCTACCTTCGATACTGCTGTCGGCAAATTTCATCTCCACTAAAGAAGTACACAGTGCATAGCTGTGTTGTAATTCTTTGGTCCTTCCTCCTCTCTGGTGGGCTGTATATCACAGTAACATCCTGAAGCCAAGACAAAAGTCAGAAGCAAGGCATAGGCCTTTTCAGTTTCTCTGAACACATGGTCTTATAAGCCTAAACATGCAGTACAGAAAGAGTGCATATGTACTAAAATCCCAAGAAAGTTAGACAAGTTAAGCTATTCTTATATTGCTTCCAAAAATTACTTCAGCTTTTGGCCATAAAATACATAATTATTAATCTAAAAATGTAAGTCCATTTTTTTAAGAGCATAGACTTTATACTCACTTCTTGTGTTCGTTCCTTCAGTACAAATTTATCTGGAAAAATCCTTAATATTTTAGGATCCAACAAAACTTTTTTCTGACAATCTTTAAAGCCTACAGCTTTAACAAAGGCTGCTCGTGAGCCGGTGTTGCGGACAGAAAAGACAGCTCGGCTTTCCTTGCCAGGTACTAAGCTGTTCACTGTTACCATGTAGCTGTCAGATAATTTCTTAACACCTTCCAAAATAAGATTACTTGTTCCTCCATATCCAGACAAAGGTATCTAAAAAACACATTCAAGATCATTTTTATATAAGAAGCACAACATTTAATTATAGTCAGAAGAGCATACAGAAAGACAATGCAATTAAAAGTTTTAATGCTGGTATACTTGGGTGACTACTTACTTTTAGTTCATTATTATATATAAAAACCTTATCTTATGAGCACACAAACATGGTATGAATAATTATGTCACTGTTGTAACCGCCTTGCTCAGATGCAGAGGAACTCAGCAAAGAGATCGCTACTAACATCCTTGCTCTGAAGTTTCAGGGTGAAACACTGATGTTTGTAATTTACTTTGAAATGGGTTAAAAAGAAGAACTGATGGATGGTGAGATGTGTGGTGAAAGAAACAGTACAGCATGCATTTCAGAATCCAAGTGAAGTGTGTGCCAGCATTCCACTGCATACTTCCTTCAACTTCTCAGTAATCTACAAATTATCATACAATTTTTGGGAAAAATCTCATCATACAATCTTAGCACCTGGTCAAGCCAGTGTTGGAAGAGAAACACACACAGGGGCTAAACTGAGGACAAGTGTTGAGGAGCTCTGCCAGCCAGGCAAGCTGGCAGTGGAAAAGCTGGGCAGGGTGCTCCTGTTGCCACTTTCAAGGGGCTCAAGCCTTCCCAGAGTAAAGTTTCGCAGACTCCTTTTCCTTAACAAGGCAAGGAAACCTTTCTGCACTCTTCAAAACATGTCTTTCCAAGTTACTTTTCAGCCTGTGTGCACTAGCACATGCCTATAATCCCAGCTAACAGGGAGGCTGGGGCACAAGGACTGCAAATTTGAGGTTTGTGTGGGCAACTAGGTGAGGTTGTCTCCAAATAAAGCACAAGGGCTGGGCATGCAGCTCTGTGCAAGTGCTTATTTATCACAAGTGAGGCCCTGCGTTTAACCTTCAAAGTAATAGTATTTATCCCTAATTAGTTAGAAGAGCTCCCAAAGACTCTCTCATAAAAGGCAAATATGAAAACAGTCACTTACTCAAATTGCACTAAATACTGAATAAAATGACATTTAGCTTTCATAAATTTTCTTGCCTTTTATAACAAATGCATCACATTCTAAAGGACTTCAGATCAGAAACTCCGACAAATGCTGTCTCCTTCAAAATGACTTCTGATAGCCAAAAACATTTCTAAGTTTTCTTTTACCACAGAATTTTATAAACGAATTTTCTCTTTGAAACTAAGTAGCAAGCGGTAGCAGGAAGAAGCAGTCCTGAAAACACTCAGCAAGTAATGCCCCACTGTGGTCCTCCTGCATCCAATGCCCTGAGACACCAAGTCCTCCCTGCTCCTCTGTGACAGGAGTGTAGCCAAGCATTCAGGATGCCTGATTGTACCATCATATCAAGCTTCGTAAAGTGACAATCATTAGTCTACCCTCGTAACTGATCCTACCCTGCTAGCTAATCAGAAGAACTGCCAAGCTGTCCTGTCTCGCCTTTGTACCTCCTGCCTGTACATCATATAAAAGCACTACGCCACCAGAGATCAGGGCCTGATATTCTGGCAATGATCCCAATCAGTCCCCGTTAGCGTAAATCAATCCAAATCCTGGGTGTCATTTCCGTGTTTTTGCTTGCCACTGCACACAGGAAAGTTAGTAATGCCCTACCTACTTCTGCCCATGGGATTGACACTGCCTCTCCCTTCCCCAGCTGTGACCCCAACCACACCTCCCTAGCGAGAGCATCTTCAGTTGGCAAGTATGGCTCTAGCGGAGCATAGCACGGGCGGGCTGTGCTCATTTGACAAAGAGGCTGCATGGTAGATCAGTATAGCTTCTGCCCAGGCTAATTATAATGTGCATGACCAGGAACATGAGTCTCTGCCTGGCTGGCCAGGAGTGGGAGCTTGCTGTGAAACGAAAGGTGAATCCACAAGGTGACGGAGAGCAGTGCCTCACACTTTCCTTTGCTGTGGAGCAGAGCTGTCCCCAACAGACACTGCCTTGCCAACGCCATGTGCTCTTGGACTCCTCATCCTCCAGAACTGTGAAGGATACACTTCTGTCATTTAGAAAGTACCTGATATGTAGTATTTGGTTATGCAGATCATATTGACTAAGACAGTATTTTTGCTGTGCTGAAAAAAATGTATTTAGAAATTTAGTGTCTTAAACAACTCTACCTAAAGTTGTCCACAAATGTGCTTCTAAAAACCTGGGTACATTTTGGCAATCTCAAATTAAGCTGACACTGGAAGTCATGAGAAGACACTGGTGGTCACACGATACAGCGCTGTGTTTATAATGTCTTTTCCTTTGTTTTTTGAAACAGAGTCTCACTACACAGCGCAGGTAAGTCTTGAACTTGCGGCAATCCTGCTGCTTTAGCCTCCCAGTGCTGGAAATATAGGCATGTGCCACTACGCCCAGCTCCTTTATAATTTGACAATCACTCCTTAATTTTTTTTTAGGTTTAGGCACATAAAAAGCAGAGTACATAATTTACCAACATTAAACCAATAGTTATAACACCATAAACTCCATGGAAAGAAAAAAGATACAACAAAACTACCTTACCATGAATTTAATGCCAGGCTGTAATCGATTTCTAAGTTGTTTGATTTCTAGTTTAGCCAACATACAAGATAATCGAGTAGGTGCAAATAACACAGAGATGACAATGTCTTCTTTAGGGCGAATTATAACCTCAAAGTTACTGGTCAATCGCTCCTCTGAGCCAAAAGTGTTCTGAAGCTACAAGACAGAAACAATTAACAGTAGCACAAAAAAACACACTGTTAACACAAGCTCTTACAAAGCTGGTGGTGGACAGAGCAGAAGGTTGAGCACATCACAAACCTGAAAGCAGTCTTGGTCCTGCCCCCTGATGAGCAGTCGTAAATGCTGGGCTGTAGAGGCACAACTACTTCTCAAAACCAGCTTCTGAAGCCTACAGACAATGACATTCATAAATATTGCTCACTTTCTTTGTAATACAGTTATAAAATGTACTAGTTGTACATTGTACTAGTTGATGTAGTTACAGTTATAAAAACACAGCCAGTTTTAAAACTAACCAGCATTTAGAGACAGACTAACTCCATAGGCCACATCAGCAGGCTGAACTGCTGCATCTTCCAACACTAGGTTCTGGAAATACAAGGGTAAGACTTGCCCTGTTAGATCTAGAGCTTCTGAATTTAAACTCTCAAATTAAAGCTCCCCAACAGGATGTATCTCTTCTATCTCTGTCTATGCAGCATGACCAAAATAAGTGGTATCTGAATTTTTAAGAAATTATTACAGTAAGATTCATTGCCATTAACATTCCTCAAAATACTCCTCTTTGTTTTAAACACATTTGCCCTATCATTCTTGCCACTTTCCTTTTGTTATTGTTGTTTTATTTTGAGACAGGATCTAGCTAAGTCATTATTTTGCCCAGGCTGGGCTTGAACTTGTGATCTGGGATTACAGGTGTGCGCTACCACTCTTGCTACTTTCTGAAGCAGTTCTAGAAGTTCCCCTTCATGAGTGTACTTACAAAGTGCTATAAAAAATACAGTGGCTGCCGCCGCCTGGTGCCATCCAATGGAAAGGCAAGCTCGCAAAAAGAAGGCGCTGCATCCTCAACCACCTCATTCACCAGCTCTGGCACCCTGTGACTCTGACTTCCCCAAAGTTAGTGTGGCCATGAAAGAGAAGCACTGTAAGCTGACTGAGGGCACTGAGGCAGCCAGGACAGCACAACTGAAGACACTCACAAAAGAGAACTCCAGAGCTGCTTCAGAAGGTGACAAGAACAATGGGATTGTGTCTAAAGCAAGTATTTTGAAGAGAGTTAATGTCAACGGATGTTTTACTGTAGTGATTTTTTTGAATTTAAACATTCACTGTATTTGTTGATTACATTGCCTTTTTTTCCTCTCAACCATCGGTGAGTGAAAATCAGTGAGAAAATCCATAGAGCAAGTACTGTGCTTTGCTAGAGTGAGTGGGCCAATTTGCTCTCAGGGAAACGAGGGTTGCTAGCTAAATGACTCACCTGGCTAACCCTAAGCCATCTTTAAACAAGAGAATCAGCCCCACCTGCAAACATCACAACATAATAGAGAGGACACACAATAACAGCGGGCGGGCAGGGAGAACTGTACGAATCCTCTCTACATTTAAGAACACAAGCACAAGAGCAGATCTTCTTTTACTCCAAACGTGAAAGTCAGCCACTTGTCACCTAAGCTGTGTTGTATGCCTTATCCTCCTCACAAAAGGCTAAGGCCTTTGGCTAGAAGAACCCCTGGGAAAACCCTCCCCAGGCATACTGGCTAGGAAGAGTTATCTGAGGAAATATTTCATAAAGCTTTCATTTTTATTTTTTAAATTTAAATACATATGGTTTTTAAGATGAGTTATCAAGCTGAGGGAAAGAGCTAAATTTTCAGCTTTAGAAAGGGAACAATAGAGCCAGGTGTGGTGGCTCATGCCTATAATCACAGCACTTTGGGAGGCTAACACAGGACGATTGCAAATTCAAGCCCAGGCTGGGCAATTTATAGACTTAGAACCCGTCTGGAAAAAAAAAAAAAGGCTGAGGATGCAGCCCAGCTTCTGAACACAGGTCATTACCTCAAACCACCATCACTCCGAACTGTTTCAAGCCCTAGTTGAGAAGTATTGATACACATACAGTTTGTGTTTTCCTTCCCTTTGGTTTTCTCCTTTTGCGACACTGAAAGTTGAACTGAGGGTGTCCTGCATGCTGGTCTACACTGAACTGCACCCTTAGCTCTTTATTTTGAGACAGAGTTCCCCTAAATTGCTGAGACTGACCTCAAACTTGCAAGCCTCCTGCCTCAGCCTCCCAAGTGGCTGGAATTACATGGTGCACACCGCTATGCCTGGCTTCCATCCATTCTTTTAGGTGACCTAAATGATCTCCAACAACCACCTGCCTGTAGCAAGCCCAGGTGTTGCTGCTCTGCCAGGCCTCAGTGTCCTGGGACAGGAAGTCCTGGGGAACGGGATGCTGTCCATGCTATTAGGTTTTCTTTGAGGTTCCTGCATTCCACAGATGGATCTGTAAAAGGATCCCTACAGGACGCCCCACAAAGTATAGGCACACTTCTCTCAAGCAGAAACAGGTTTAGCCTCAGCATCTGCTCCCTGGGATCAATCAGCTCTCCCTGCTGGGACAGCAGAAGTTCACTGTGGTCATGCAGGTGTCAGCATGCCCATCTTTCCCTAGGCCCATTTCTAACCTAACTCTTCCACCTTCCATGTCCTTTGAAAGCTGCCTAGGAACAGGACAAGGTACAGACGGCTGTCCAAATGGCTAAGCAGAGCAACAATCACATGAGGTACACTTACATCCTTTGCCAGCAGGAAACTGTAGTTTGCACTATTTATTTACTTAGTTAGGGTGTTGTTAAATAGTTCGTGCGGCCTTGAACTCACTATGTAGCTCCGGCTGGCTTTGAACTCTGTGATCCTCCTGCCTCAGCCTCCCAAGTGCTAGGGTTACAGGAATATGCCATCACAACTAGCTCAAAACTATCGTTTTAAAGAAGCAATTTCCTCACACTGAAGTAGAGATTCAGACACACACTCGGTCCCTTAGCTCTCAGATATTATATAAACATTTAGAGGAAAACATTTAGGGCAAATGCAAAAGTACAAAATACAAAAAGAGTAAACTTTCAGGCTTAATGCTTAGGTTGTTAACCAGCAGTATTTGATTGGATGTTTGTACACAAGTGTACATTGCTTAGCTATGAGCTTTACCTTTGTGAAGGGTCAATCTATTAACATAGTCCATACTCCATTCATTTTACTCTCATTTTACCAGCAATTGCTCTATTAATTTACATACTTATCAGAATTGAATATTAAGTGGAGCTCCAATTCACACTGACCAGTGATGGACAGCACCTGCCAAGACCCTGCGTTCCTGACCTGACCCAGGCTCACCACTAGACTATGGCCTCCTCTGCAGACTCTGAGGCCTGACTGCACTCTCCCACCTCTCCACAGAGGCAAGATTTCATTGCTCAAATTTGGTAATCAGCAGAGAATTTGCCAAAGAGCTTAAGAAACCTGAAACTTGTCTCTGAGACACATTTTTTAAGACATGGAAATTTTTAATTCAAAATTTAAAACTCGAGATAGAAAAATTAAACAAATACAAGATAGTTTTCTCTCAACACTAAAAGCAGTAACACAGCCACAATTAGTGCAGAAAAGAAAATGGTGATCAGAGCAAAATCTTGGCCCTACAGGCTACTGTGTGCATACGTACTGTGTCCTGCCCAGAGGGACCCCGCCCCATGCCAGGAACTGCTTGTTGGACAGAATGGACGGAAAATCTGAGTAGCAAGGTCCTGGGGACATAGGTTGACTTCCAGAAGAAACAGCTTCACCCTTTAACACTACTTCATACTGAGGGCCACATGGATGTACAAATATCTTCAAGATCCTAGTAACAAAACAAATTAAGTCAAATGTCCTGTATTCAATTCTGTAAGCCACCATTTCCTATTTGCTGTGTTCAAGTGATAGACGGGCTGCAGATGCAGTGACAGTCCCAACCCTGAGAACTTGTACCCCAGGAAGAACACAGACCACAGAGGCAGTCACAGTCCACCTAAGTGGTGGGATAAGAAAGGCTCACGGCACTACGGGAAGCCCACTTCAGAGGAATATAGGAAGAGTCAGGGAAGATTCCAGAAGCAGCCAGCCCAGGTAAGCTAAGGGCAGTGTCCCAGGCATGGATGTTTGCCCTGGTGGGCTGACTCTTCCCCTTCCTTTGCAGGTCCTGGCAGTAGACAAGCATGGCCACCAGAGGAGCTGCCTTAGCAAGGCCTGTGCATGTGAACCCAAATGTCAACAGTGGCATCCTGACTAAGCTGGTGCTTGCCACAACCTGGTGCCACAGTCAGCACCCTGGAGAAAGGAGGCAGAAGAGTCTGACACTAACCAATGGCAAGGTCACCTATGGGCTTCCTGGGAGAAAGCGAGTTCCTGAGAAACATCAAACATGATGTTTTATTATTTACTACTTCTAGACACACTCAAAATTATTGATTTGTTAATTTCTGTAAGCAAAAGAGACTGAGTGGAGCAGCTAAGCTGTGGAATCAAGTGAAGTAGAACACATACTTTGCACTCAGTGAACACTGTTTTGAGAGGTAAGTATGGATTTGTCATGAGAAGTACTTTTGTATTACCTTTCCTCACAGGCTTTGGGATCCTTTGGCGTAAAGGAAACTATCACTTCTTGTTCTTCTCCAGGCTTAAGGAATAGATTCTCTGGATACACTGAAAAGTGACTTCCTTGTTCTGGGACCTAAACAATTACATAACCATAACTAGAGGCCAACTCACATAGGGGCTCTTCAACTCACACAAGGGTTCTCTCTGGGGTACTCTGGTCTCAGTGCCTTTCTTATGTTCTGCTTGTCCCTTTCTCCATCTATTACTGTCTCAATTCATCTTACTATCTTGGAAAGCGCACTTTTTCCTTCTTTTTCCTCCTCAACAAACCTACTTTCCCACACCATCCTCAGTGCTTGGTCATCACTACCCTCTTGTTCACCACACATCTCAGAAATAATATCTTTGTGTGTGGATCATGGCTCACTTTCTTCCAACTCATCCTAGCCACAGGATGACATATATTTTCTCAGGCAATAACCTAGATCCTGCTTTTCTTATTTTCCAAACATGCAACTTCAGCATTAGAGCACCTGGCATCCAGTCCCCAGGGCGCTGGTACAGCTCGAAGCCCAGTGGCCCACAGAAGTGAGGGGAGATGCTTTACAGCACTCTGAAAAAAGCTCTCACCTTGATATCTAAATAAACTTCGATATTTCCAGCATTTTTCAGAGGTAAGGGCTGCTTTACTGAAGAATTCACATTGGCCAACAAATGCACAGTCTAGAGGGAAGATAAAGACATGTTACTTAAAAAACTGTCGCACTTTCAGTGAGACTTGCCTGAGCACAAACCTCCAACACCAGAACAGAGAGCACCTGCAGGTCCCTGGGGGCATGAATCCTGGCAACGCCTGCTCTTGCTTGGAGACTCACGCTGCTAAGAGCTGGGGTTGGATTTGGGCTATCCACTTCGATATCAACTCTCGCCACGAACTCTTCTGCTGAATCTAGAATCTCTACAAAAATTCAGTCTTTTAGTTTGGAGAGCAAAGAGCTGGTTAATCCAAAATGCCACCAGCAGCCCAACACTATCCACTTAGGTCACACAAGGAAACTTAGGCAAAAAGACCAAGCACGTTTTCTGAGCACTTGCTTAGGTTTCCCACACTCAGGCGAGTTTAACCCAAATTGTCACGCCACTGCCCCACCTTCTACACAGCACAGGATTCATGACAAATTATTCAAAAAGCACTGACTGGAAGATGTAAGGTCAAATATGTGGTTTATTTAGCTATAAAGCATTCCCCCAAAAAGGTAAATATGTTACCTGAAGAAGTGATTAGTTTCTTTGGACTATGGAAAAGAACCCAAATTATTAGAAACGTTGGATCCTACAAAATGGAAGGAAGAATAAAAGATTTTTAAATATACACTGGTGTTAAGACTGAAATCTTAATGGTTAAAAAAAAATGATCTGGAAACTTTCTCGTTAATTCTAAGTGAAGTTTTTGCTTTTTAAACTTTTATTAGCCGATATTTGCAGTGTACAATGTTTATGCTCACCTCAGTGGGTAGGTACCTAACACATCTTAACTCTTTTATTCCCTTCCCCCTCTCCTTTCCACTTTCCCTCAGTCTCTGGATCCTCTTCCCATTTGCAAAAGATCTGCCTCCCTGATTCTTTTTTTTTTTTTTGTACTGGGGATCGAACTCACAACTGCACGCTTGCATGGCAGACACTTATACGGCTGAGCTAAATCCCCTGCCCTGCCTCCCCGATTTTTAAGCTCTTTTTATTTTGTTCTTTAAAAATTATTTAAAGTTTTTCATGTAAGAGAAACTATGTGATATTTAAACCTGTATGTCTGGATTTATTTCACTTAACATGGGTCCAAAGGGCATCCCCTTTCCTATAACTTGAATTTATCCTTCGTTACGGAAGAGCAGTGCTCCATCATCTTTACCCACTCATCTGCTATGCGCATAAGAGCCACCTCCAAGATTCAGTTATTATGAACTATGTTGCTGTAAACATGGGTGTGCAAGGATCACTGTGATATGAGGTTTTTAACTTTTTCAGGAAGGCACCTAGAAGAAGAGTAGCTGGGTTAATGGAATTTCTAGTTTTGGCTTTTTGAGAAATTGCCACACTATTCCCACCAACAGCATAGAAAGGTTGGTTCCTTTTTCCCCTGCAGCATTTGTTATTATTTAGTTTCTTGATAATGGCAATTCTTTCTGGGGTAAGACGGGACCACAGTGTTGTTTTCAGATGCATTTGTTTGGTGGCTCTAAGGGAGTCCTTCAACCCACATGGCCTACCTGTCCTTGGTAACTGGCGGGCATTACATGGCTGACCACAGACGGAGCCGCCAGCTGAGCCATCACGTCGGCATAGGGAGCAGTTTTCAGGGACACAGGAACTGGTTCCTTGGCAAACGTGAAACAGGGCCAGGCTAAGGCATTCTGTTCGGAAGCAGAAGCAGTTCAATATTGTACTGGGGTTGCCAATGAAACCCTTGATACAACTGCAAGAATACATCCAGTACTCCAAATCAGCGTCCTCTGCAAGCACTTTTTTCCTAAGTTGGTACTTACGGCATTAATAACCATCCTGAGCGGTATGGAGGCATGTGACCGGTTTATCACTTTTAGCGGAAGAGCCTTCCAGCCTCCGTAAGTCAAGTCGCCAAAATCAAGAACACCTTTCTTTTCCGTTTCTACCTAAATATGAGAAAAGGAAACTGATGTAGGAGAAGCAATACACTAATGTAACAGCTCACACACATCTAGCCACAGATTAAAAATCAGCACTAAAGGTAAATTCAGACCTAAGTTCTCTGAGGCTATCTTACAATTGTTTATTTCCTACAAAACTAAGTGCTAAACTCTTCTTTTGAAGTAGTCTATGCACCCAGACAGAATAAAACAATTTCCCACCTGCTGCTACTCTGAAAAGACAGTCTGGTAAACACTCAGCTCTCTCCTTCAAGGAACAGTAAATCCTGTGGTCCTTTCAAAACTATCATGAATTCACAGTATTTTCAGATTAACTCTGAACTTCTGATTGATAGAGGGTATTTGAAACGATGTAAAAATGGATATAGCAAAAGTTTAAAAATACTGACACACACAGACATACACACACGCGTGCACATACACAACCCCCCCCCCGCCCCCGGCAGAACATAACACATAAGGAAATCAAAGGCAGACTCGCAAGTAACAGCTGACTTTCATGGTGACCCATGAAGGCCTGGGGTCCAGCTCTATCCCCAGGGTGGCACAATTCAGCCATCCAAAGACAGGACTCCAAACCCATGGTAGGCAGAGTACAGCCAGGATGGCATGGGCCCCACACTGGAGAGACCTCCACAAGAGCCCGGGAATTTGGACCAGCATTTCTGCTCCTCAGCCACATGTTCTCTGGGGACAGTTCCACAGACTAGGATCAAAAGCAGCCACACTGATGGAAGTTCACAAAACTTCCAAATACCACTGAAAAGTGAACAAAATAACCAAGGAGACTCAGTCAAAGTAACCAGCAGAGCACTCGTAACTCAGGAATCAGAAGTCACCAAAACATACCACAGATAGCCCCTGGCCTTCTAGGGGAGTGGATGTGACACACACTCAGTTGTCACACTGGGGAAAGTGAGCCACCCAGCTTGCACAATGCAGGCCCCTACTGAACTTTCCCAGATACTATTTCCAAGGTTAAACAACTTGCATTAAAATTCCAGGAAGCACAAAGATCTGTGGAGAAACTGTTACCTCAATAACAGGGCTCTCGGCGATGGCAGTGAGAACAACCCTGCTTGCCAAGGCTTCTGCTTGCACCACTGTCTCAGTGTCTGCTGAAAACGGCCACGAAGCAACTCTGAACACACACTGGAAGATCCCAGGATCCAATGGTATGAAAAGCACCGTTACCTCTTCTGCTGCGTGTGGTCTCACGATAACTTTATTCTTGAAAACTAAACAAGGATATGTTGAAAGATCCACCTTTAAAAAAGAACCATTAGGTTTTATTTTGAAAATCAAGGAGAATCACCTCAGTGAAGACTCTCTTTCCCAATTATGTGTGCTATCCAACCTGGATACCAACTCTTCAAAAACATCACTATCTGTAAAGCCTAATTAGTCAACATGCTCAAAAACTGAGTTTCTCTTCAACATAAACACTATGTCTTTCTGGTCCCTTTCACACAGACCTGGTTATCTGACACCCACTTTGCCTACAGGGTGCTGCCATGGTACTTCACAGCAGGGAACTCTCCCTGGGGTACAATGCTGCCTCTGCACAGGGCCAGCCGAGTCTGCTCCTCTCCATAAATGGGATCCTCCTACCAGCTTCCCATAGCCACAGACAACTCTCCTCACCTTCCAACCTTAATCTTTCCTTTAATCACCTGCTTTTTATAACCCAAGGATCTGAAAGCAGAGGAAAAGCAAGGAAAATAAGAGGAAGCATGGAAATGACCTTCTGTTGCCAGGTAAAGGCTGAAGACCAGGGCAACGAAAGCACAGCTGCCCAGTCGCCTTCCCAGCAGGAAAAAGAAAGGAGACTGAATCCCAAGCAACGGCAGCCATCACTGCTCACGTCAATCACATTCAACAAAGTCAAAATCAGCAAGCAGGGGCTGGGGATTTAGCTCAGCGGCATAAGCACCTGCCTTGCAAGCAGGCGGTCATGAGTTCGATCCCTGGTACCGATTAAAAAAAAAAAAAGAATCAGCAAGCAGAGGCCAGAAATCCACCTCTCCAGCATATTTTTTCTCTCCAAAATCCACTCTCAAAGCAAAAAGACCCCAGTGAGGCTGTGCAAGGTGGCACATGCCTGTAGTCCCAGCACTCAGGAGGCTGAAGCAGAAGGATTGCCAAGTTCAAGGCCAACCTTGCCAATCTGCATTGAGTGATCTAAATAACAGTGCCATAAGCAAACTTAATTGGTTTTATAAATGAGTAACAATGACCGAAGTTACAAGCTCATTTATACTCACTTCCACACTCAAAGTTCTGCAACAAAAGGCCAGAGAGGATTCTGCTCAGGAAAGCTGAGGCATCTGCCAGGTGGTGAGGGCAGAGCAGGCAGGTGGGACACCAGCACCTCATGAGCCCACCTGGAGGAAACCAGAGTGCTCACCTTCTCACCGTTGACACTGACGTTCACTGCCATGACGCTGACCTGGAGCCAACGGTCAGTGGGGTTGAGCACGCTGAGGCAGGTCTGCGAGGCGATGCCCACACAGCACACATGAGGAAACTTCAACTCCTCTGGCACCCTGACACTTGCTGCCAGAGAAAAGGCAAAACACACTTATCAGATACCTGGAGGACAGCACTGTTGGGCAAGTGGAAGTCACTACAAAGCTGCCTGCAGGAACCCAGGCCTCAAACAAGCAGAGTCTGGCTCCATCCAGCCAGGAAAAGCAAATGATTAACACTGGTGGATACTGCAAGTGACAGCATATCATTTTTTCTCTCCAAAATATGCTCTCTCCAGCATATTTTTTTCTCTCCAAAATCCACTCTCAAAGCAAAAAGACCCCAGTGAGGCTGTGCAAGGTGGCATATGCCTGTAGTCCCAGCACTCAGGAGGCTGAAGCAGAAGGATTGCAAAGTTCAAGGCCAACCTTGGCTATGTAGTAAGTTCAAGGCCAGCTGGAACTGCATAGAGAGACTGTGTTTCCAAAAAAAAAGAAGACCCCAGAGCAGCTCACACTGTGGAAATGCCTGCTTGATCCTGCATCTCTCATCTCCCCATCCTCACTTGCACAGTGACTCTGAAGGGTGGGTAGGACAACAGCACTCCCCAGGATGGGCACAGGAAAAACAGAGGCCCTGCTCTGCTTCCAAGAAAGGTGCCCACAGGAGTAGATGCTGCCTCTCACAAGGGCATCTGACTCACGGTGAACACTTCTCATTTGAAAGAATACCAAACAAATCCAAGCATGGAGCCAAAGAGAGACAGGTAAGATAAGATGGGGCCTATGACCCTGCCCACCTGCATAAGTGTGAGCATCTTTTGAAGCCAACTTCAGGGATCCCACCTGGAAATACTAGGGTGTCCTCAATATAGGACAAAGAAAGGAGATAATAAGAAATTAAGGCCAAAACTGGGCATGGTGGTGTTTGCCTTACCACATCCATAACAGGGCCATAAGTATTATGCCTTGCTGTCAGGCAGCTTGGAACACGCATGACTGCCCACTGCATGACTGTAGCACTTCTACCAAGAGTGGTGCAAGCCACCCAATGGGACAATCATGTATATTCCACCAATGGTTCCAGCTAGCAAGAATGTGTTCATCCCAATACTTGGGAGGCTGAAGCTGGAGGACTGCTGCAAGTTTAAGCCCAGTCTGAACTACAGATTGAGACCCTATCTCAAAATAAATAAGACCAAACAAGACTTCTTTCAAACAAACTGTTTTTGTAGACCCACTTGAGAAAGTTGAAATTTTAAACAAGTCACAATAAGAGAAAAAGCACCTTACCAAATCCTGTCGTCATTCCTGAATTCCAGGGTTCGATCCCACAGGTGGCACTAGCAAGGTGCATGGGAAGAGGGTTCGCTGTGCTGTGCAGGTTCTGATGTAAGGCATCAGAACAAGAATTACAAAGGGCAGAGGGACCCAGCAGTCCAGAAGCAAGACTCGGGCCTAGACAAAGCCCCACAGCCACGGGGTTCTGAGCCTGCTCCCCCACCATGGCTGGATAAGGGGGGCACCCTGAGAACCCATAGATGGGGGCACTGCCTGCATGGCATGGAGGCGGCAAGGTGACATGTGTCCCCGTATACTGCTGGGCCAAAGTGGCTGTGGGAAGAGGGGGCCCAGCCCAGAGTGCAGCACAGGCAGGAGGCACGCTCTGTCCCTGGGCTGCAGCAGTGAGCTGGTGTCTGGGGACATCCCGGCGAGAAGCCTGGCCACTGAACTCACTGCTGGTTTCCTCAGAAACTGTCCTCTGACCTTCAATCACAGGCTGCAGGCCCGGTACAAGGAGCTGAGGTGAGGCTGGCCTGGCCCAGTGGCCGAGAGCTGGCTGGCCCAGGACCTGGCCTGTCCTGCAGCGGGATGTCCCAGCCGCCTGCCTCGCTTCCCACAGCTTTCCGCTCTCCAAGGAAGTGTCCTGGCTTGAGGTGAAGCTAGGCTCAGTGTTGTGAGGCCCGCTACTTAGAGACACAGCTGCAGCTGCCTTTCTTGCTCCAGCCTCGCTCGGGACCCCGCTCTGCTGAAGGGAGAGCTCTGCCTCCTCCGGGGGCACTGGGCTGGCTCGGATGATCGTGGTGCTCAGCTCACTGGTGAGATCACTCTGTGTGTGACAAGCGCTTGGAGTCACCCACAGATCACCAAACACGGCAAACCCAAATCATGGTGCTATAACATCATCAGACAGGTTACAGAGGTCTACACAGCACTATCTCCAGGCCATTCCTGTCTCCACTAGGCTACACACTCTGGAAGGTTCTGTGAACTGAGCCTGTCCTGTTTCTAGGCCTGTGGGGTCCACGGTCTGTCTATTTAGTAGCAGTCCTGGCCTGGACTCACACACATACTTGTTCATGCACAATCTGCAGGGGACACCAACAGCTTGCAGGAGGGACCCTGTGGCATTTATACCCAGGAACACCTGCACTCCAACGATTAGGTCAGGCTTTAGGGTTGGAAATTTCTCATGGATTGAGGCTTCAGAAGTAAATATACCGACAGTCAAAGACCAGACCACCTGCTGGTTATTAATAATAGTGCAGAATGTATATGTTCGGGGGGATTATCAAGCGACCAGCACTCCCAGCACTGCTCATCACAGGGGAAGACACAGGCATGGGGGTTGGGGTCTGGGGATGTGACAGGAGGGCCACCTGACTCATCACTCAGTTCTTGGTCACACTCAACATACAGACTCAACATCCCTCAGAAGCTGGCTTCAATGAAGGGGAACGTACAGCATCAGACTCTATATCACAGGGGCACCCGCTCAAGAGTGTGGTGGAATGGCCTGTACCATGTGCACAGAGCAGTTACACTCAGCCTACTGCAAAGCTGAACACGCACACTCACAACACATTGCAAGAACATAGAGTGACACGCAAGATGCTGCCAGACAACATCAGTTCTCCTTCCCTAGTGCAGCACAGGCCCATGGCATCTCTGATTCAAATTTCTGCCAACAGCCTCATGTCAGATCTCTCTCATTCCAATCTTGCTCCTCCCATGCCCAGCTAGAATGAGCTTTTAAAATCAAAACAGATCCAGGATGGATCCCTAGACGCAGACATCTGAGTGGGGGGCCTCTGCTCCGTCCCACGTAACTACTCAGCCAGAAGTTCTCTTGCACATAACTGTTCCCACTGCTTTAACCTTACCGAAACGCTTTCCTCTGTCCATCTTACAAGCATTCAGGCTCCCAAATCTGACCCTCAAGCTTCCCCAGCACTGGGCCTTGCCTTCTCTAATTGCCATCCCTTCCCCCAGGGTAAGGTTCATCACAGACCCTCTAGGCTTTCTGAGCACCTGCAGTGAAGCACACAGCTTGCATTCCCACCATATCCGTCCTCCATCCATCCCTTGGCTTCCTTCGTTTAGCTCGAAGTCATTGTGAAAACTAAGGCCTTCACACATTAACCCTTTCACAGTCCCCTGCTGAGTCACCTGGCCCTGCCATCAGTGTCCATGGCCATTGGAATCCTCAGGGCACATCCATACCATGATGCATTTCACTACACAGCCTGTCTGGCACCAACCGAGCTCTTAGGGGCAACACCAGAACTTGCAGCTCTCCAGTGCTCACCCAGCAGGAGCAGCTGTTTGTAGGGACACACATATGGAAGCACACACACATACACACACATTCTCTACTCTACAGGTAAAAAAGCCAACACAGACACTGGGTGGGCCTGACCTCCAGTCGTATTCCAGCATGAAGCCGTACTGGAGAAGGACGGCCCAAGGGCTCCTACCTTGTGCGCATCATCAGTGGTCGAGGCAGGACAGGTGCTCTCCCGCTCAGACACGTAGGTCAGTCTGCTCATGTCAGCACAGGAACACGCCAGCTGGGACAGCTCACTTGCAGCGGGGTGCTGCTGGGGACAAGTTGCTGAGTCTAAGAACTCCAAAGCTCCCCTGGAAGACAAATGTGACCCTCATGTCAGTCACCCACCCTTTTTACTCACCTCCACCCACACCACGACCACTCCTGCCTGCCTCATCTTGGAAGCAACACCAGCACACACTCACTTTTACATTTAAATATCTAAAAGCTGTGTCTATTCCTACTGAATGACTTATCTGGTAAGTTACCATGAAAGAAAAAACACTGTAGCATTTTTATTAATAAATACAATATACAGACATCTAACAATTCATTCAATAAAAATTTACTGAGTATTTCATATGAAGCAGTGAACAAAAAGTATGAAAATTTTCTTCTTTCAAAGAGCAAAGATGAAAAAGAGAACCACACAGGTAACAGCAAGAAAACAGAACAGGCAGAAGCACTGACAGGAGTACATACACACAAATAAAGCGGAGTGACTTCTAGCAGAGCAAGTAAGTGGGACTATTAGAAGCCACCCTAACTAATGTTCTGTACCTAGGAATGTTTCTCAAGAAAAGGTTAAGGGTAAAGACTTCAGCAAAAGGATAAATAGGATACCTTACATCTCCTAGAAGAGGAGCTAGGTTATAGCAGAACGCTGTGCAGCCATGAAAACCCGAGCTGCCCAAGCGCTCAGGTTGACACTCTGAAAAATGCAGGGTACAAATATCTACACAAGAAAAAGACATACACAAAATATTTACAATGACTGCCTTTGAGAAATGAACCTAAGAGTGTGCACTTGTTTTCCACACATCTTGCAAATTTTCCCGCACATAGCACAGTGTCAGTGGCAACAGCAATGACAGGCAAGCACACACCCTGACAGCTTGGCTTGGGAGCCCTCGCTGGGTGAGGAGTGGCTGAGCGGCGAGGTGGATGGCCGGAAGCCCTCCTGCTCCTGCTCCTGCTCCTGCTCCTGCTCCTGCTCCTGCTCCTGCTTCTGCTCCACGCCAGCCCTGAGGCCTGCCAGAAGGAAGCACAGGTCAGTGAGCACAGACATCACAGCATTACAGTGCACAGGTCAGTGAATGTGCACAAGCACTCGGTACTCACCAACACTTCCAGATGAAACTACGCAAGGATCATCAAAAGCCAAGTGCTTGTCACTGTTGTCTGTTTCACTAACAGCCTCTGTTTGCCTCCAGTTGTGTATTTCTTCATGTCCTTCCAAGAGGCACAGGGGTGTCCTTCTAGGGCTCCTGTCCGAGGAGGAACTGCTTGGCACTGGCAGGGACGAAGAGGCAGCTTCCTTGGGGTGACCAACGCCTGGCAGGGCGTGGACAAAGGGGAGTGCCCGCCAGTTGGCTGCCACCCTTGCTGTCTCTTTCTGGCTCATTGGGGTCAGGGCCAAGTCTGAGGTGTCTGTGGTTCTGACCAAGGCCTGACTCTCGCTCTCTTCACTTCCCTCAGGAAACGCAGCCACTGCTCTGTCTCTCGGTCCCCTGAACACGTGGACACCCTGAACGAGTTGCTCTCTCAGTGAGGACAAGTTCCAGACATCCGACAGGCCACATAGAGACTCCCTTTCTAACCCGCCTTCACATCTGCTTACTTCCGTTTTGGCGAGGTACTTCTCCACATCAAACGCACTGGAGCTGTCACTTCTGTGCGCATCACCAGGGGAGCCAGGCGACAATGCAGAGCAGTCGCTGTGCTTGCCGCACTCCTGCTCCTGCTCCCACTCCCGAGCAGTGGCTCGGTTTCTCAGGGCCTTCATCATGGCGGCCAGCTGGGAAGGATCCGTGCTGAGCGAGACATCCGCAATGGCCGATGCGATGGTGCTGATCCTGAGCACAGAGTTACTGTGGTCGAGGAGCTCTTCTTTGGATTGGGGTTTGTTATTCCTGAAGAAAGTGTCCTAGAAATCAGAAAATGTGCATCAGAAAACTCACGCTATTTCCATGGAATGTGCACGGGAGTTGACTATTTATAAAACAGCTTCCCCACAGAGGAACCCCAGAGGCCAGGGTGGCCCTAAACCCATCACAGCACATGTGGTATATCCTAGACAGCCCTCAAATAAAACTTAACTAGAAATTAGAACCAGCAAGACATTGACAGCAGTAACTAATAAAATAGAACAATCATAAGAATGCACTGTAATAAAGACATGGGAAAGGCTGTTTCTCTATTCCAATTTCCCACTTAATATTAGAACACAGTGAACCTGCAGGTGAAAGGTGAGCACTGCAGAAGCACTACCAGCACGAGCTCCAGCAGCAGCAAACTCCAGCAGCAAGTCAGCTACGGTGTCTAATGCAAATGCAGCCATCACCAACTCTAATCATACAGAACTAGGCAAACCAACGGCACATCAACTACACAGACTAACGAAAAAGATACCTATTACCAACTTTAACTATACAGTACCATGTAATTTACAAATTCTATTTTTAAAAAGCCTCATGATTTTAAAATATGCTAAAACTGAATCAGAAAATAAAAAGGAACCAGAAAAATCAAAATATTGAGATGAATAAAACTTTGAGCCACTATTTAAAATACTGTTCACGATGATTTCATTCAGTTGCTCAAATTATTTATAAGCAAGACATAAACAAGAACTATGTGTAAAAAATTGAAATGGGTCTAATGGCAAAGAACCACAAAATAATAAAAAACTGCAACACTAAGACTTTTGTCTTCAGTAATAGTAGAGTAGGTGATATAATCTGCTACGAGCAACCAGGACTGGTCAGCACATTCAAAAAGACCTCTCACATCTAACAAAGAACTGTAGGGAGTGTGAAAGAAAAAGGTCGTACAAAATTATGGAGCCAAAATCCAAGAGAGAAAACCAGCAATCCAGAGATGCAGGCCCAGTACTGGGGATGCTTTTCCCAGGAAGCACTGTTGTTTCAGGAAGAGTGACACAGCTATTCTCATGGGAATGGAGAAGAAAAAGTTCAGAATCTGTTAGGACGAAGTCTTGGGGTATGACCATACAAACACACGCACTTCAGGGCTCCCAGCAGGCCAACCTGCAGCAACTTTAATATGTAAGGCCCTAAAAACATACTCAACAGTTCACAGGGGAAAAAATAAAATAAAGAAACACTTCACTGCAGACAGAGCCCCAACAACTAACGGCAAATATACCTGACTGGAGCAGACAGCAGGCCCTGAACAGCTGACAGAACAGCTGGATGATTTAAAGGGTGCGGGCACACCGAGCACTCTGACTGATAAATTCTACCTAAATGAAACACATGAGTGCAGCCAGCAGCCACACAGGTGCTCCCTTCATATGCACAGTCACATTCTCAACAAATGCGGGTCCACATACGTTTCAATGCATCTGTATGTCTGGACAATTGGAACTCCTGACCACACTTAACTGGTGTGAACTCAGTATTTCAAAGACAACAAATACTTCTAGATGCTGGAGAAGTAAGCAATACACTTATAAACAAACAAAAAAAGTAATGGGCTTAAGAAGCCAGGCATGGTGGTACAGGCCTGCAGTCTTAGCAATCTAGAAGGCTGAAGCTGAAGGATTAGTTGCAAGTTCAAACCAGCCTGGGCAACTTAACAATTTAGGGAGACCCTGTCCCAAAATAAACTAAAAATATCAGAGAGAGTATCTCAGTGACAAAGCCCTGGTTCAATCCCTGGTACTGCCCAAAACAAAACAAAACAAATGAAAATACATCATGAACTTAAGGAATTAAAAAATATACTGAACAGAACTGATAATAAAACTATTACATATAAAAGCCAAGAAGAAAGGAAAAAGAATATGAGATGCCACAAAAGCCCTGCTTTCAGGAAAATACATACTGTTAGATGTTATTAGGAAAGAAAGGCAGAAAACTCAAATGAGCTGGGCATCCATCTCAAGAAGTTGGAAAAACAGCAAATTAAACCCACACAAGTAGAAGGAAAGTTGGGATAATCCACTTGACAATAAACTTGTTTTACTAACTCTTTTATGTATGTTATAAATTGATGGAAAAAAATTTTTTTTCCAAACTTAAAAGACATTTGAAGTCAGACATGGTGGCACATGCCTGTATTCCCAGCAGGCTAAAAGGCTGAAGCAGGATTCTAGCTCTGCTTGGACAACTTAATGGCTTAGGAGATCTTGCCTCAAAACAAAAACTAAAAAAAGCCTCAGGATGCAGCTCAGAGCAAAAACCCTGGGCCCAATCCCAGTACTGCAAAGAAAAAGAAAAAAGACACAACAAAACTGAAGGCTGTGCATATAGCTCAGTGGTCCAGCACCTGCCTAGCATGCAAGAGACCCTGGGTTCAACCTCAGCAATGCAAACACAAAGCTGAAGCCCAGAAAATAAAACACACTTGAAGCAGCATGTGTTCTTCACAGGTGATTGTGTCTCCTGTCACACAAGAGCTATCACAAGAAACACAAGCTCAGGCTCAGAAGGGAAGGGCTACCTCTGTCGTCGCCTCGTCGGTAGTCAAGGTCACATCATGCTCACGCACTTCCGAAGCGCTCTCCAGGGTCTCCAACTGCAGGGTGATGGATCCTTCACTCAGCTGTGCCTGGGACTGCTCATTTAAATCTCCTGCCAGAAGAAAACAATGTTCCACTTACAAGTGCTCTAACCCTTAGACACAATCTAACTGTCAGGGAGAATCTTATGGCCCCGCCTATCCCAGACAGAATAGGCCTCAGAGACGATGTGAATCTCAACCTCTCACTCATACTCAAACACTCACATACATTCATTTCACAGATTCCAAGCGTCAACATTTCACACTGGATTAACAGTGAGCATTTCTTTATAGTGGTGGAGAACCAACTCCTACAAAAAGCAGCACATCATGCCAAGTTTCACAGGACACTGAGCAAAAGACACTGTTGGGCTGGGGGTACAGCTCAACGGCATAGCACCTGCCTGGCAAGTGTCAGGTCCAGAACTTGATGCCCAATACCAAGAAAAGAAAAAAAACCCAAAACAAAAAAAAAAAGTGTGTTAGCAAAACAGCTGCTCACGACCTAAGAGTTGGCAGAGGAAATTTGATTTATAGTACTTTTTTTGAGACAGGGTCTTGCTATTTAGTTCAGACTGGGCTTGAACTCACTATATAGCCCAGGCTGGCCTCAAATTCACAGCGATCCTACTGCCTCAGCCTCCCAAAAAAGTACTTTTAATCTAAATTCCAAAGCATATCTTTAACTGCAAATCAAAGTAATAAATATCTATTTTTCATTAACTGAGAAACTTAATAGGCCACGTAATTACAGCATTCGAAATTACCTCATTTGATTTAATTTTTTACAAAGCATTTCTTGTTTCTACATTAGACTGAAAAGAAATCTATAAGGAATATTGAAAAATAAGCAGTATTGAACAATTACAAAGCAATACATACATTTCACTCATAAAGAACATAATAATAATAACTTAGTTACAAGTTAAAAAAAAAAAAGGCTCCCTAAAAATTTTCATTCAATCCATTACCTGAAGACAGATTAGAGTTAAGAGGAGTCATTTCCTTTTCCAAATTACTTCTTGACACATCAGACTTTCTTATTAAAGCAACAGGTTCGCTTTTTTCAGGTGATCTAATAAAATAACCAAATGATGGCTACAAAATAATTAAACATGAATTATTTCCTTAATTTTCTGCTGCTTTCCAATATTCTACATGACTTTATCTAATACTACTAACACTGCTAAATGACTTCAACAAAACAGTCCTTCCCACATAACTGCCACAAGAGATGAATTGTAAAAGTTGAAATAGAACCTTTTATTTCCTTAATGCTAGCCTCTTTTCACTATTAAAATTAATACTGGCAAGTAAGTTGCCTTTACTAAGAAATGCAAATTAAAATAGCAAAACTGACACTTCATTCAACAATCAATCAGCACCTGCTGTGACAGGCAAGTGTCATCAGTGACAGGCCCATGAGGAAAAGAAAACATTCCTGTTGGCCTAGGTCTTACAGTGTATTGATGTATTCTCTTGTAGACTAAACATACAGGCTCAGACTGTCTAGGATAGAACTCGCCTGTTTCAGAAAGAGTTATGCTCATGTGTAAGAAAGCACATGTTTCTTACACAACTTTTACGTGCTTGGTCTAAACTGTGAATTCATTAAGTGCACTTAGTATTTTCTTGATCTTCATTTGGGAATTTCTTCCCTTGATCCAGTAACTCGAATGCAAGTAGAACTTCTTAACTACAGCAAAATAAAAATGCGAGTAACAGACCCAGTTTTCCATGATCCAATGCTTGGTTCTTTACTTTGAGAGGGGGCAGTCCTTACAATTCAGGCTAGCCTGAAACTCTCTGTGCAGCCTAAACTGACCTTGAACTTGTGGCGATCCTCCAGCCTCAGCCTCCTGAGGCTGGAATTATAGAAGTGTGCTACTATGCCCAGCCCCAGTACTTTGTTTATCCATTTGTTTAAGAGAGATCTCAATTACTCTTCAACTTCCCCCACAACCTCAAAACTCCAATCAATCTAGGCAGAAAATTTTGTGTCTGAGGTACTTATTTCCGTTTCTTCATTCACTGCACACAGAAGATAGGAATATAGCAGTTAGAAAGCAGTTAATTAGCTAAAAACTAGTGATTACTACACTGCATCTACTGTCTCAGTGAAATGTACGCTTGATGAATACTCACTCTGGAAATACCAGCAGACTGAGCTCTGTGTCTGCACATTACCCTGGCCCAGCCTCCATACCCTTCTCCTCTTTCCACTGCCTCTGCCTGCTTCTCTTCATCCTCCAGCCAGACAAAGCTGGCAGCACTAGGCTGTGCCTAGAGAGGTTCACGGCATGCAACACTTTCCCACCCAGTCACTGAAGGTTCAACCCAGCTCCTGCAGGCAGCCCACATGCTCAGCTACCCCATCTTACCTGCCTACCTGGCCAGCCCCACAATGGCTCCACTCTTCTTAGCAGTGGACCACCATGGCAGAGCACTTGTCTAGCATGTGCAAGGCCCAGGTGCTGTGTTCTACAGCTAACATCACCCAACCACGTGATACCAAAAAACAAGCCTCACAAGCACCAACACACTGAAATCTTAGGAAACCTTGTAACAAGTGATGGCGAACCTTTCAGAGCTTTCAATGAGATAAACAGCCCACTGCAGCTCATGTGCCATAGGTTTGCCACTACTGCCTATCAAATAGCCTTTCACTTTAGAAACAGGAACATTAAGGCAGAAAAGAGTTCAATTGTTCAATGTCATATTAAAAGGCAGAGCTAGTACTAGAGTCAGATCAGACTCACTACAAAGCCTGCATTTTTCCAGCAGCACACACCTGCAAGCCAGGCTACTCAGGAGACTGAACAAAGAAGACTCAAGCCCAACCAGGTCAACTTGGAGAAAGATCTGTCTCAAAAGGAAAATTTATAAAAGGATGAGATGTAAAAGTGAAGACACTACCTCCAATCCTTAGTAGTGCAAAAAACCAAAAATATAAACCTAAGCTTTTGGCTTAGGTTTGCAAATTCAAGGCTGGCCTGGGAAACTTAAGAGACTCTGACTCAAAATAAAATAAAAAGGGCTGAGGGGTTAGTCCAGTGGTAGAACTTGGGAATTTCTTGCCCGGTATCCAAGAGACCTTGAGTTCAGTCATCAGTATTGCAAAAATCAAGAACCTAAGCTATTAAGCACAATTCCACTGTGCCCTTATTCTGTCACTGCTCCACAGTTACCACTCCAGTCTACTGTCCCAACACCCAACACAAAGCCCAGTGCTTGGGTCTGGACACAGAGCTCATGCTGAGCAGGGGCAGCATCACAGCTGTGAGGCTTGTCCAAAGTACAAATGCTGCTAACCAAAAGCTCTCTCCCAAGGTCATGTTGAGACCTGGTGTCCAATGTAACAGTGCCAAGGCGTCCAGAGCCTTTTGGGATCAGAAGAAATCTGCTCTCATGAGGGAATAATTCCATCAATTATTCCAAGAGATGTTACTTCTTTCTTTTCCCCTCCCAGTAAACATCCTTCTGCTCTTCTAATATGTGAGATTTTAACTTTCACCAAAAAAAATAATTCCAGCAAGCGTAGGTTAGTTCAGGAGAGGGCACTGTCATAAAGCAACTCAGCCTCTTTGCCTTTCACACGTGGCCTTTCTGTCACAGCTCCAAGCCTGACCAGACGCTGACCAAAGGTGGCTGCCCCATTCAGGGCTTAGCCTCTGGAGTTGTGAGCCAACATAAACTACTTCTTTATAACTTAGCCAACCTCAGGTATTTTATTACAGCAATACAGGATGACCAAAATGACATCAGTAACTTCAATCACCTCTCACATGTCTCATACTCACTCTTTTCACATTGTTATCACCACCAAGGCAACCAAGAGCTGCAGACCTTTGGGCAAAGAATTCCCCTAATGACAGTTGTAGATAACTGGGCTCATCTTTGTCCAGCTCTGATGTGCTCAGTGATTTCCTCAACAGACTGTAGTTAACTGTAGCTGCCCACGACATATCCCCTGGGGTAGCTGAAATATTCTGAGTATCTATGTCTTCTTCCTAGAAAGAAAGAGAGATGTTACTTCTTTCTTTTCCCCTCCCAGTAAACATCCTTCTGCTCTTCTAATATGTGAGATTTTAACTTTCACCAAAAAAAAGAAAACTTGAAAATTAATTTTTAAAACACTGAGCAAACTATTTGGATAAATTTCAACATAAATAGCTACGAGTTACAGAGCAACTCATATTTGAATACCTGAGTTATAATATGTACCATCTTAATACACTGTGGTACTTATTAAATCATTACTGCCACAAAGAACCTTTAGAAAGCACACATTCTCACTAAAAACAAACAGGATTACTTGTTTCAAAATAAGTTTTTAAAACTACTGAACAATAAATAAAACACAAAAACAATGGAAATATGTATAGGAAAGAAACATAAAATGGGAAATACTGACTCATTTCATTTCACTCCATTTTTGCAGATCTGGGATCAAACTCAGGGCCTCATTCATGGTAGGCAAGCCCTATATCACTGAGCTAAGCCCCAGGCCAAAGATACATTTAGGTATGTCAGCATTCCTCAATCAATTCTTTAGAAAAAAAAAGCCACAAGTTTTTGAATGAGAGAAATAAATAATTCTAAACTAGTTGTTTAGAAGGAAACAAGCATTTTGCCTATGATGAAATTAATACAAGAAAAATTTCAGACTTTGGTTAAAGCAAATAATAACAAACCTGTATAAACTGATGCTCTTTATTAAATTCTTCTTCATCTTTTGCAATCAAATCCAACACTTCAGCTTAAAAAAAGAAGTTTATATAATTACATTATGCTAGTGTACAAAACTTAGCTATTTAGGAAAATGAAATACTAAGGAAACGCAAGCTTTAAAATGATCTGAAAACATCCACTCACAAAACACATCTGTATTAAATACGTAAGTCTGTGGTTGTTGGACTTTGCTAATGAGCACACCACTACGGGTCTTTATTACATAATAAGCTTTTTTATTTTTAGAAGATTTCAGTTAAGCCAGCCATGGTGGCACATACTTGCAGTAGGCTGAGCCAGGCAGACTGCTTGAGACCAGGAGGTCAAGGCCAGCCTGGATAACATAGCAACAACCTTTGTAGATCCCAGTCAAAGAAGGAAAGATTTCAATTATCCTTAGCTTTTTGGGGGTCTGGAGATAAATTCTGGGTCATCACTCTGGGGTTACACCCCTAATGCTTTCCTTTTTACTTCCGAGATAAGGTCCCATACTAAAACACTGAGTTGCCAAGGTGAGGCTTATCATCTTCCTCCCTTAGACTCCCAGCGCTGGGATTGCAGGCATGCATTATCACACTTGGTTTATCAATAGCTTTTAAGAGTGTAGAACACCTCGGTGTAGGTGTTTGCCCACAAATGCACATGGAATTTCACCATCAGAATGACAATCTCCATGCATCTGCACAGCCAACGCCACAGATCCACACACGTTAAAATAACCAGCACTCTTACGTAACAGGCTCTTACATTTGTCTCTAAATACCATGCTCCTCTTACTTCATAAACACATGCATGCAAACTTGTATGCAGACAGAAGCATGTGCTGTATATTCCTCATGTGCACTATTTTAATCAACACACCCATGTGATTCCTCCCCATTGCTGCAAGGAGCTGAACACCTCTCATTCCCACTGCTCCACAGTGCTCCGGTGCCTGTGTCACCCACTCATTGGGAATGTAGGGGTTTCCAGTTTGGGACTGCACAAAGAGTGCTGCAACAATCAGTGTATGTGTCTGTTGATAAAATACACAGCTTTGTCCACCAGCAAAGTACTCAGGCATGGAGTCACTGGGTCATGAATAGAAAGCTCATGAAACTCACCTTGCCAAGGTACTGTCATGTCAGCCTCCAAGACAGCAGAGTCACTTTACTCTCTAGCCACACCCAGCGAACCTCAAGACTTATGACTTGGAATGATAAAGTCAACATTCACTGCTTAGCGCAGACCTTCACTATGCTTCGACATCAAGACACCACTGAACACATCTTCACTGTACCTTACCTTCTAAATTCCAATCAACATTTCAACCACTGAATACTTCCACCTCAAACCAGTCACCCAAAATCAAGTTTCCTCTAGTTCTCCCATCTCAGTAAACAGCAATGCCATTTTCCCAAGTAACTCCAACTGAAACTTCATTCTTGCCTTTCTATCTTCTCCTGAAATCCAGCTATCAAATACTCACTGTCTTACCTCAGTCGTTCATTAGCTACATACTTTTCATTTTTCATTCAAGTGATCTCCACTGTCAGAGACTCATGAAGCAAGGTAGACTAGCGATCCAAGCCTCAGCCTGGCCTAGGAGCCAATCTCCCCTTGCTACTGGGGCTGTCACTTTTTTTCCATCATTACCACATTTCTTAGCTTTGTAATTGCTCCTTTACCAGAATATTTCTTTTGCTCAAGATAGCATATTACAAGAAACCAACTAAAGCCTAAAGTCCTTTCTAACCTTGCAGTACTACTTTTTAAGGGAAATGAGTAAGAATAACTGGCACTAGCTTTTGTCCCACAAAAAGTAGTGAAGTGCTTCAAGGAGACAATCATATCCCAGAAGGGATCAAATGTGGCTGGCCAGCACACAGAGTAATCTCAAAATCAGCAGAAACAATGAGGGTGGTACAGTAAGTAGTTCCCTACATACTTACAACCAGATCTGAAGTCTTCATTCATCTCATTTAGAGACATATTTGAATCTTGTTCATTATTAAAAGATGTGTAATACGCAAGGTCAGTGACCCATCTGCCTTCTTCATTTTGGTAAACCACATTCTGTGAGAGGTTTGTTTCTAAAATAGAAATTCCAAGAACATCCAATGATACATGCAACAACCAAAATGATAAAATGTTCTCAATTTTATTTAGCTCACTTTTAGTTACCAATAGTGCTAGTTTGCCCAAAACTAAAGGAAAATCGATCTCTCAAAAAGAAGCTCATTGATGGCAGTAAGCCAGCCTTCCTTGCAAAGTTTATCCCGGAGAGACAAAGAAAATAGAAAAGCCCAGGTGTCATGGCTTGTAGCTAGATGTCTCCCCAAAGGCTCATGTGCTCAGAAATGGGGCTTTTCTCAGGTGCCCACATCGAGAGTATGTGACTACAGATTAAGGACATGGATAATTAAATTAGAACACTAATTGCGTTAGCAGTTCTAGGTGTGGATAATAGGAAGGCCCACTCTGGATGTGGATGGCACCAACCATTAGGCTGGGCTAAAAGGGAAAGGAAGGCTCCCTGCTGCTGCTGCTGTTCCTTGCCTGCCCTGCAATGAACTGTTTCTCCTCTGCAATGCCCCTCTGCCATGCCACCCTTTTGGGAGTCAACCATGCAGTGAAACCTCTACAAACCATGAGCTAAAATAAATCTTTCCTCCCTTAACTTGTGGGCATCAGTTATCTCGTCCCAGCAATGAAAAAGTAATAGAGACACTAGGACCCCAAAAGGATAGGGATAGGACAACCTGAACTTGCACTGAGACTCTGCCCAAGAGCAATCTTTCTTCAACACTACAATATGCAAAAAACTTTACAATTCATAGCACACTTAAACACTTCAACACGAAAGACTGGCAAGTACCGCACAGACAGGTATTTGAAATCGATAAATATCTTAGATGTTTCCTTAATCCTATTTCAAAAGATAAGCTTCCTTACGGTCTTTACTCTTATCCATGGGTTTGGAACATTGATATGTTCTCCTTTCACGAACTGGTGACGAAAGAGTATCAGTGGAATTACATCTACTATCACAAGCACGCTTCAGAAATACTGTAACATCTTTCTGATCAGGCATCGCAGGAGCTTCGGCACCTAAGCATCCATCCTTGAGCAAAACAGTTTTGGAATCTGATGCCAACTGAGGAGGCCCTGGCCCCAGTCCCAAAGAGTCAGCTGGGTCAGAACCATCTCTGCCAGGGTCATGGAAGTTAATAGGGTCAAGTTTCCCAATGATAACTCGAGGACTCTGCACCAGAACATCCTTTTTTGTACTTTCCTTTAAGAATCAATGATAGAGAAACAGAAAGATCTATTATAACTCATTTAAAATTTTATGAGGAAAACTATGCACTTGATATAAAACATTTAAAAGAGACCATCCAGTATTTTACTATGTTTTATGAACCAATATTATACAATTTACCAAAATCTAAAATGGGCTCACACAAACATACATATCAACAGATTTGGAAGACAAGGTGATGAGTTCACATACCACTGTCATCACTTATTAGTTAGGTATGATCTGCCAACACTATTACATAAAAATAAAAGTTTTGGGTCAGGGATTTAGCTCAGTGGTATAAGCACCTGCCTGGCAAGCACGAAGTTGTGAGTTTGATCCTGGGTACCAAAAAATAAATGAAAGTTTTAGACATAAAAGTATAGGATAAAACAATATGATTTTACATTTCTTCATAGATAACATCTTTAAGTAAGACACTTTGGTGTCATGAATTGTGTTCTTCCAAGAAGATAGATAGATACAGATACAGATATAGATATATATCCAAGTCCTAACCCAACCACCTGTAAGTCATGACAATATTCTGAAACAAGGAGGTTATCACACGTGTAACTAACATTGAGGCTGACATGACTGCACTCAGCCAGGAGGAACCACAACCACGCCCTCTCCATTGAGTAAAAAGTAGCTCACAGTCCTCAGGCACACAGAGCTGTTAAGGAGAGGATAATAAATAGGTCAGTCAGAGATGACTGCCACGCTTCAAGCCTTCAAAAAACAAGGTATCATTAGCAGAAAAAGCAAAAATAATGAAAAATGTATTTGAACAAAGTAAAGTTCCTTTAAAAGTTTCCTTTTTACTTAATCTTAGCAATAACAAATATTTATATACAAACAGTATCAATTGTGACTTTTACATTTTTCTTTTTTTCAGAACAATAATTGTTTCTTTTTTTACAAAAACAGGTATACAGACACACAAATATGTTTAACTTATTTTTCCTTTTCATAGAAAATTTAAAGAAAATGTATCTAAACTTACTTTGGTAAGGTCTGCCCTGCCCTTCCAGACTTTACAAGTATTTGAGGAAAATGGAAACACACCATCTACCAGCATTCCACCATTGCTAGAATCTACAACACAATGACCTGGAAAGTAAAAAAAAGTTAATGGAAGATTCTCACAGTTTGCATAAAGTAATAACCACTTTTTGTCAGTTCAATTATTTCATGTAAACCCAATATGTAACATTCCTATGACAAACTTAGGAAACTGCAAATGAAAAAAGAAGCACCAGCCATGGACAATAAATGTAGCAAACTGCTGCCATACAGAAAATTAGTTTCTAATTCTCAAATGTCGTCAGAGAATAAAACCATTCATAACACTCAATCCAAGAAGTACATACTGTAATATTTCTAATAGTTTATTCAGAATCTATGTTAAAAATAAACAATATCTCATTCATAAGAGCACATAGGACTCTAGTGATTTCTTACTGTTTAGTTTTTGAAATTCTGTATTACTTGTACCTTTTTTCTGGTTTTTTTTTTTTCTCTTTAAATAAAATTTTAAAAAAAGAAAGCACATAGGACTACGCGATGTGGTGGGAGCTAAAGTAACTGTACTGATAGGAATGTATTAGCCTCAGAAGCTACTGAAGTGGCCAGTTCTGCCTCATACAGTAAAAATGAAAAAAAAAAAAAAAGCTTAAAGAAAAAAACATTCAGAAGCAAATTTAATCAAGCAGACAAATAAAACTCAGGATTTAGTCATAGCTCTTTCACAAAGTTTGACTCGTGAATTTGATTCCCAGTACCAAAAAAAGAAATGAAAAGTTTTAGACTGTCTAAAGATTTAAGGAGACAGCTAACATATGAAATACTACCAACAAGGAACTGAATTTAAGGAAAAATGATACAGTCAGCATGAAGCAATGGGGCACCCCTTTTGTCCAGTCACTCAGGAGTCTGAGGCAGGATGATTGCAAGTTCAAGGCCAGCCTGGGAACCTTAGCCAGACACTATTTAAAAAAAGAAAACTGGGGATGTACTGCAACACTGCCTGGTTCAATCCCTAGCACCACAAGAAGAAAAAGCAAACAAAAGGCAAAAATAGAACATATGAACAAAAGAAGCATATTTGAACACTTACTGGTTCCAGACAAATAAACATGATCACCATTCTCTTTGTCAGTCATTTCAGAACTTCCTGAAGAGCATGAGCCATGGGAAATCAGAGAGCTCTTATTTTTGGATTGAAACTTACTGCTTAAGATGCTGCTTTCATTTGCCTGTTGAAAGAGTATCTTAGCTGTATTAATCCTTTCCATTAAAATTAAACATATTGAGGAGGAAAATGAGGGGCACAAGGAGGTCTGTTCCACCAAGGGGTGCCAGGTAACAAACACAGAAGAGCAGAAAACTCAGCACTGTAGCCTGAGATAGACAACTTGTTTCCACCAAGTTTCTGAGAGTCAACGATGCAGGGGTGGGATGCTCGTGAGATTGGGGGTGTCCTCCTATAGATGACTTCACAGAGTGGAGCAGGGACCCCCAACAGGAAATGCCTGGGCAACATCACCTTACTGCAAGCACCAACAGTGGGCTGAATGCACCACAGTCACCCAATCTAGCCTGTACGCAACTCACAAACAAGAAGGGTTTCACCTGAATTCTTGCCAAAGCACACCTGATCTTGCCAGGGGGAAAACAGTAGTCAGATATATCTAGATCACAGATCACTCTACAAATCAAAGAGCCAAAACTTTGTAAAATGTTTACCATCAAGAAAGAATTTCAAATTAAGGGAAGAAATATGATTATCACAAGCAAATATAATCTTTGAATTCTGAATCATAAAAAAGAAAAATACTTTGGGGAAAACAGGAAATTTTAAACATGGCCGAAGTTAATTTAAACTAATATCAAAGCTAGGTAACAGAACTGTTATTGTTAGTTGTAGAAAAATATTCTGTTTTACAGAAGAAATGTCATAAAATGTTTTCAACTTCCATTCAAATGATTCTAGGAAAGAAGTGCTTAAGGAAGGACAAAAATGCTAATGTGGATAAAGGACATAAAGTTCACTTTTTTTCATTTCCTGCAAGTGTGGGCAAAGTAAGAAGTAGAAAAACATAAACAATATTTATCAATCCATAGCTGGGAAATCAAAGGTTTAAATTTAATGTTAATATCCAGTAAGACCAACAGTAATTTTCTAATATCAAATTTCTAAAAATAATCATAAACATTGGAACATACCTGACTAGGAACACTTGCAGGCAACCTAAAATCTTTTTCTGGAGATTCTTGTTCTTCTAGGCCTTCATAAATCATTGCTGGAATTGCCAGCTGTTCAAAATAAGCCTCCAAATGGTCATCGTAAAACTCTTCATCATTAATATCATCATCTATCAATAAGTGGGGGAAAATTAGGATAAAAACTAGGCTTTAAAGTAGGAACTGGCCATGCCATGGGTACATAGCCTACCTCCACCCAGGCTTTCTACCATGCCATTTCAGCCCTGGAGCCAGCCCACTGGTGACTGAACTTCTACAAAACTTGAGCCAAAATAACCTTCTCCCCAAAAGTACAGGTGCTAAGTATATTACTCAAGCAGAAAATCACCAAGACACACATGCACATTTTTTGCAGCATCATTCACAATAAAGTGCATACACAAAACATAGTCTATCTAGACAACACAATAATAGCCATAGAAGGAAATGACAGCAGGGTGTGGCAGCACATGCCTGGAATCCTAGCACTCAGAAGCCGAGGCAGGATTACTGGGAGTTCAAGGCCAATCAGGGCTACATAGTGAGTTCAACTCCAGCCTGCACTACCAGGCGAGACCATCTGAAAAAAATAAAAATAAAGTAGGAACTGACCTATATAATTTTTAAGCAAGAAGGCTGATAGAACATAAACAGGTCAATGAATGATTGTTTTTGCCTTTATCATGAGGATATGACTAATTTCAGTCAGTAACAAGCATTTAATACACAGTGACCTTGCTGAGAGGTCCTGGAGCATTGTGTCTGCAGCAATCAGAGAGAGAAGGGGAGACTGTTCAGAAAATGGTGTCGTGGGTAGTTAGTACTAGCAAAAAGGACAGAAAAGCCTGTCAATGGAGGAGAGAGAAAGATGGCACTGCAGTGGTTTTCAGAGCTCAGCAAGGGCAAGACCAAGTGAGAAGGCTCCATCACAGGCACGGCCATGAGAGGTGCTGCGTGTAAAGGGGACACTGGGAGCCTTAACACTTGTAAAACTTGACTTAGTGATTCACCTCAGAAGAATCTAGCCTCCGAAACAAGGACCTGAGGTCCCTTATCCACATTCTACAACCCAAGAGGACAGAGACTCAGCTGGCAGTAAGGCCTGTCCCTCAGTGACACATGCCTTTACTCCACTCAGTTCATCGGCCTGGCCTCAGAGCCATCAACAATCTGGCATCATGGCCTTTCTGCATTTCTTACGGGTGTGTAAAGCTGCCAGGAAACTGGCTTGGCTGGTCTCGAGTCATAGCCAGTGGGCTCCCTGGCAGGACCACTGCTGGAGTTACTCCTGCTTCCCGAACAAGACTTTGCTCACACACCTAAGGCCAACCAGGCTGACTCTACCCAGAGAACTTCATGGATGCCCTCCTGGGTCAGCAGTATCTACCAGCCCCTACGATTTCCAAGCACAGTTCTGCACTACTGAAGCACATGCCACACAATCTCAAGCTGAGCTATGCATGTGTCTCCTGCCTATACGTGGCTGAGACATCTCACATAGGCTAACTAGTTAGTTCCTTACTCCCACAGCAGCTGGCACCTTCAGATGGGTACTCTGTACCTTAATGATATCAAACTGGGGATGAGTATAACTATATCAGGGTTCACATGTAGAAACACATATTTTAAATCTTATTCACTGATCAGAAGTGGCCATCTTAGTGCTGGCAGGGGGAAGAAAATGAGAACACAGGAGCTGGCACGAGGACTACTGCAACACAGACAGGACATGAAGCAGAGTGGCAAGTCATTACTAGTACCAGAAGAATCTTCCAAACTTGTCAGCGACATGAGTTTCTCATTTTCTACTAAGCTAACATGGCTGACATCACTGTCTGGAGTCTCATCTTCAGGATGTTTCCGACCACCTGGTACCACAATCTAAAAGAGATAAAAGGCAGTACAAAAGAAGCACATTCACTCCTCTACAGAGCACAGTACAAGGCTACGAAAGGAGCAAGTATTTCTCCATCTGCAATGTGCTCTGAATCTGAACACCACATTTTACTCAATGAAAAGCACACAATAATGCATTAAGGCCACTCACGCCCAGAATGAAAATACATTTCCCTCTACATGTCTATTTTATTTTAAACTAATATTTAATACAGAATAAAACAATTAAGACCAGCATTAAATTGCAAAACATGCACTAATTTTTTGGACATAGGACCTCAGTTCAGTTTTACTTCTAAGGAAGACAGTGCTAAACAAGTCTCCTAACTATGTAAGGCACTAAAGCACTGCCCCTCAGCCTTATTACCTGAAACAAATTCTCATTTTTGCTGGGAGTATGTCTGCTATGGACAAGCAGAAGACTTTCAACTAACATTAACTAATACATGATGCAAAATAGGAACTTTTCCTCCCCTGTAATAACCCAGAAACTGGTAACAAATACATAATCATTTACCTTATACTCCTGATTATTCATCCATGATCTTACATGAAAGTCAACAGAAGGATCTGTTAACAAATGAAAACCAAAACTGAGAAAATGTTTTATCATCTAAATAGCAAATAATACCTAAGAACAGTAAATTAATGAATCGAGTATTTTCACTGTGAAATAGAAGTACTTTAAAATGATGGTACAGGACCTCATCATTGGTCCGTAAAGGTGTGAAAAACACTAGCATGGAGCATCTGCACAATGACACAGAACTTGCATATGCACTAATGAAAACTCTGCAGGAGATGCAGGAAGCAGTGCAAAGCGCTCACAGCACAAGGGAGCAGACAGATGAGTCCATGGGAGAGCTGCAAGGCTGTGAGACGGGAACAAGGCACTGTAAGCTCACATGCCCTTCCTCAGGCTCCAGTGCAACAAGCCCACAGGTCTGCAGCACTAAACATAAAAAAGAAGTAATTCATCAGCAGTGGTAACTGCACTATGGCCATGTAAGGAAAATCACTGTAGGGCTGGGGATTTAGCTCAGTGGCTTGAGTGCCTGCCTGGCAAGCACAAGGTCATGAGTTTGATTCCCAGTACCACAAAAAAAAAAAAAAAAAAGAAAAGAAAAATCACTGTTTTTAGAAATGCATACTAAAATATGCAAAAATACAATGATGTAATTTTAAAATAACAGGAAAACCACACTCTGAATCACATATCATAGCCATATAAGCCAAAAACATGTGATTTTCAAATTTCAGTTTTGATTTGCAAATTATTTTTCCCATACTTTGTCTTTTTACCTTTTCAATAGTGCCTTCTGAGGCATAGTTTTCAATTTTGATAAAGCCCGATTAACTATTTTTCTTTCATTATTTATAAATGTAGAGAGCTAATACCAGTATTAGCTGGTATTTTTGTACCTATCTGGCATTCTTTCATTAAGAGAAACATAAGTATCACTTAAATCTTTTGAATTAAAAAATACAAGTGTCTACTTATTTCACTTATCTTATTACTTAACATGATCACACAAGATCTTTTAAGCATTGAACTGCAGGCTGAAGTTATATGCTATCATTGCTATAGGTCAAAAGCATTAGTTTTCAATTTTCATTTTTTATTTCTTTTTAAAAACGAAAGAGAATGTAAAGTACTTAAAAGGAACCAGAGAATAGATGCCTATATTTTTTCTCCACAATTTTCCCCACATTTTTTATTATAATCCCTCTCCTCCCCCACTGCCACATCTAATTGGACAAAAATTTTTCAAATGATTCACTCTGGAGTATTTCTGAAATATTCAACAATTCATGAGTTACATAAAAATAAGCTCAAGGCCAGGGATTTAGTGCAGCAGCTCAAGCGCCTGCTTGGCAAACACAAGGTAATGAGTTCAATCCCTGGTACCAAAAGAAAACAACAAAAAAATAAAAAAACAGCTCAAAGAACAAAAATGACTCAAGAGGAACATAAACATATCAGTGAGAGGAGCGTGACACCTATAGCATAACAGGCCTCACAAACATCAGCACACCATGGCCACCTGGCCTGGCATTACTTCCAAAGAAAGGATGACCTCAGCCATGGTTGCAGAGGACCAGTGAAGAGACACTCTCCTATAACATGCCCTGAACACAACAGCATTAGGTACATGTAGAGAGAAACATTTCTAGATTGCTAAATGACAGTCCACCAAAGGGAAAATGAGAGCACAAACTTTAAACACATGAATCAGAAATGACCCCCTAGTAGTTCAGAACCTGGGGCTCGCTTTGGAGCTGAAGCTCTATCTGTAGGGGCAGGAGCCCGGCAGGCAGTGACAGGGTCAGCAGGCTGCTCTTCTGCTCCTGGTCCTTCACTCTGAAGAGACGACAGCTTCACGACAGCATGGGACAAATGTGGACTTTCTGTGTTGCGCTTTTTTCTAAAGAGAAGGTTTTTTTAAATAAGGGCATAGATTAGTAGCAAAATGTTGGTTAAGTTTATGGGGCTGGGGATTTAGCTCAGTGGCGTAAGCGCCTGCCTTGCAAGCAGGCAGTCGTGAGTTCAATCCGTGGTACCAATAACAAAAAAAATGAAAAAAAAAAATGTTGGTTAGGTTTATAAAATATCCACTAATCAGTTATATATTTCATCATTCAAAAAGCAAAAAAATGGACACTGTTAGAAGAAACAGTCTGGATCTAGTCAGAAAAGGAAACTGATGATGCCCTAAAGGACATTTTTCCTCCAACTCCTGCAGGTTCCTGGGTCCATAGCAGCTCACAGGGCAAGGAGGGTGAAGAGGGAGTGGCAGAAAGAAACCTCTAAGTGTTTTAAGGAGCTAAAAACATGATTAAAATGTATGAAGAAACTCAGGATGTCTAGAATTGGTGAGAGACACAGTCCCACTGCATACAGCTCAGGACAGCACGAACTTACTCCTCATCCTGGAAGCTGAGCTGCAACTTTCCCTGGGCTTCAGCATCACTGCAGCAACAGGAAGACGACTCAGATGGAGCTGAAAACCTTCCCTCCAGGTAGGAGGCCTGGACATCAGAACACCTACACAAAATTGTTAAGAATTAAATCACGTTTAAAATTCACCAGCCACCAGGGGAAGAGGACAAATAGTATGTCCAGTGTCCAAAGCCACTACCTTCTGTGCAGAGCACCAGAAACTGTGGATGGCAATAGAGTGATGATCTGCATCAACATAACCACACACCATAAAGCCAAAAGGACAAGCAGCCTCTGTGCCAAAGGTAAAGACGGTAATCCTCACCATGTGGCTAGGAAAAGAGGTGGAGAAGGGGCAGGTATTTACCCATAAGACCATATGCACTGTGAACAACACATTTGGAGTAAGGTAAATATGGTATATTTAACCCAACATCTATCTGGTTTATAAAACTGGGTAAAAATAGTTAAGAAGGGGCTGGGGATTTAGCTCAGCGGCGTAAGTGCCTGCCTTGCAAGCAGGCAGTCGTGAGTTCGATCCCTGGTACCGATAAAAAAAATGAAAAAGACAAAAAAAAAAAAAAAGTAGTTAAGAAAATAAATGCCGGTTTAGTCCCTAAGAAACAAACCAAACTTGGGAAATTTAGGGTTACCAAAGAAAGCACTGGGCCAGTTCAGGAGCACAGACAGACGAGAGGCTACAGGAGGAAGACAGCCATGCCAGCCTAGGGCAGCATGACCCGGGCTGAAAGAAAGCATAAAACAGCTTTGGCACAGGATGAAACACACCAGCAACCCCATGCCACAGCCACAGGGCCTGGCTTCAGGAGAGTTACCCGTAGGAGACAGTTCATTAGCCTCCTTGTGTAGCTACAACAAATGGACTCAGGGATTCTTCCAAATCTGTGCTACCATACTCTGAAACATGGAGTGAGAAAACAGATACAAACCAGTGAGATGAGAGAGAGGACAGAATGACATGGGTACAAAGAGAAGCAGAGTGGGAGACAAAAACCAAGACCTGGCAATCTCAGGCCTAACTTCAGTCTTGTAGACACAGCTCGGCTTGGCACAAGCAGATGCAGGTATCTTACCTATCATCAGAGGTGGCTCTATTCCTCACAAGTGTAGAAACAGCAACAGGCAGCCCAAGATTTGAAGAAAGAGTGACATCTTCCAAAATCCCACTATTACCAAGTAACGAATTGGTTAGAAAACTTGGAAATGATTCTTCTGTTATGCCTTGAAAACTTTCCATCTCACTGTAGTGACAAAAGTATTTTTATAAATAAATATTACTATAAAACCTTTCCAAGTGGTTAAATGCAAGTTTTAATAATTTTAAGAAATTAATAACCTTAGGAAACAATTTTTTTTTTTTTTTTGCAACATCCCTAAGAAAGAACATCACATGAAAATACTCTCTGGTGGGGCTGGGGATTTAGCTCAGCGGCATAAGCACCTGCCTTGCAAGCAGGCAGTCGTGAGTTCGATCCCCGGTACTGATAAAAAGGAAAAAGACAAAAAAAAAAATACTCTCTGGTAGAGAAAGTCTCAGAATACCTTGCTGCTTTATAGCTGAGAAGAGACACCCAACAGTAAACTCATCATCTCATTATTAGGACAGATACAAATCAACCCAGAGGAAGACTGGTAAGAATAAGTTTGTTCTAATAGCTTCCTGGTAGCACAAACTAATTGAATTATTCAGTAAAATAGAAAGTTCAAAGAGCATAAAGTTTGGGCACGGAAGCTCATCTCTCCACTCTGCACCTGGCCCAATCCTTCTCCAAGCCTCCACAATCTCTCCAGCAGAGCCTCTCTTCCCCATGCCAGTCTTCCCTGCACCCCCTTCCATGCTGTGTGCTGTCTGCTGTCTGCTGTCTGAGGCCTCCTGAGCTCATCCCTGTCAGGCCTCTGTCCAAATCCAACAGGGCCAGTCAATATCACACTCACCTTCCTGCTGCCAGGTCCTAGAAAGCTACCTCAATCTAACGGAACACGCAAGGTCCATGATCCTTCACTTGACCTCTAGATGCAGCTGCCAGTTTTCCAGCTCTCTAGCTGCTTCTTTTCTTCCCTGTATCTCCTGCTCCTCCCCAACAGTGGAAAGCTCGGGGCTAGTCCTAGTCCTCCCTCTCTCCCCCTTACCCCTGCTACACTACTTTCAGTGTTAGAGCTTTGAACATCCTAAGAAAGCTATATTCTAGTCTGAGATTCTCCTCCTGAACCCCAGATACTCAACTACCAGCAAGGCATCTTCACTTAGACCCCTAATGGACACCTAAAACTCATTTTTTTTTTTTTTTTGAGACAGCATCTCACTATGTAGTTCAGACTAGCCTTCAACTTGCTATGTAGCCCACTTATGCTTGAACTATCAACCATTGTCCTGGCTCAGACTTCTACATGCTCGAATTACAAATGTACACCATCACATCCAATGTATAAACTCAAATCTGGACTGTACCTGCTTCCATCCCTCGAGAAAGCCTGCCCTTCAGTCTTCATCACCAGAGAAGATGACAGCTCCGATCTCTAACTGCTTAAGCTAAACATGAGGGCCAAAACTGATCTTCACGTCACACACCTTGCACAATACCTTAGCACCTCCTAAAGGCTAGGCTTTGAGGAGCATCCAAAACCCACCAAGCCTCAGAGTTTCCACTGCCACTACTATCTCCTGCCTGCGCTGCCTCCAGCCTCAGGGAAACAGATCTGGATCCACCATCCCTTGCTCACACCCTCCCTGCACTGCTGCATTTCCCAAGCACTCAGGTGAAAGTCAGTCCTGATGGCCCTGATGGCCCACAAGGGCAGCAGAGTTCCTGACTGGTCTTCTTCCACTACTCAGCACTGCCATCCCAGCCCCACCACTATCCCTCAGAAGTATCAGTAGGCTCTGCCCTGGCCTCAACCTCCACCCACTCCGAGGCCCAGGTGTACACTCATCTTGCCCATCTTCTCTTCCACAATTTTGTGCCTGTGATCACCAGAGCTTTGCACATCACTCAGCACTGACTATGCATTCACTTCTTCATCTGCTTTTCCCAAACATATGCTCTGCTTGTTTGGTAATTCAGCACTGCACTCCTACAGCAGCGCTAGCAGAGGAGCCCTCGGCACAGCTGCTGGGTGAAGGATGGATAAATGTTTTCAATGTCAATACACAACAAATCATTGCCAGTTTTAAGTCAATAAGCACTTCCTGAGGCATTTCCCTCTCATTCATATTTCTAACTATCCTCCCTTCTGGATTTCTGTAAATATGCTCAAAATTCTCCCATATTAGAATGGAAGGAGCCAGAAAACCTGGCCTATCAGTCACGGGAATTTCCTGTAACTGCCTTCTTCTCCTCCCTCACCAAGCATCCAGGAGAACTGAATGCTCCACAGCTCCTGCTTCTGCATCTTACCTGACTCCCCCTTCCTATCTGCTCCTCCTACACTACGGTTATCCAGGATTCTGACCTCAGCTCTAGGTTACGCAGCTTATATCATACACCCTGGAGATGTCAACTCAAACACTTTCAGGCACAAGAAATCAGGACAGTAAATCAGCTGGAAATATAGGCCCCACCTGAAGACAATGATGCACAATCAAAACAATGCTGCCAGGCAAAGCACATCTACTGGTACAGTGGCCTTTTGAGGACAAAACTCATGTACAAAACATACCCTATACCAGTAGATGTGCTTTGCCTGGCAGCAGGTGGGGCCTATAATTTCCAGCTGATTTACTGTCCTGTTCTTGCACCTGAAAGTGTTTGAGTTAAGATCACTAGGGTGTAACCCTACCCATAAACCCATGTGCAAAAGATAACCTGAGCCCTCCCACTATACCCTTCCAGACTAAAAGCCCCATTTCCACATTTCTACTCCTTCCACCCAGCAATCCAAAAGACTGTGGACCAGGAATCAGGTACAGTGACCTTAAGAAACCTTGGGAGGCCTTGTCACCTCTCCTACCTCACCTCATACCCCCTTAGGCACTCTTATCACCTAAGGGATTTTCTGTCCCTGTAGCTCTCCCAAACCTAAACCAACTCAGGAACTCAAAGAATATTCTCCAAGATCTTTGCATGGTAGCTTTCTCCTGACCTTTCCTAATCAAATCCAAGGTGATCTCACTGTCCATCACACCTATTCTAATGTCTCCAAGCCCTTACCACTGTTTTGTGCCTGTCTTCTTCCACCAAAACAATTTTCCTCTAAGAGCAAGGGCCTAAGCTGGATGTGGTGGCCTATACCTGTAATCCTAGTGAAAAGGTTTTGGCCCAGACAGGACACTGTAGCCAGGAAAGCCTCAACCAGAAGCAGGAAGCCCCTATCTCCCCTACCCCTAGGAAGTTACCTGTAACGCCATCTTCCTGCCCCTGGAAATTTACATATGGCGCCAAACCTAGGACCAATGGGCTACCTGTGCATCCCTAATGCCTGCCTTAGGTTCCACCCCAAACCGAGGCTATTTACAGGCCCCCGCGCCACGTGTCCGCCGGAGAGATCGCCGGACGCCAGCGGTGGGGGTGCCGGTCGTCTCTCTCCGTGTTCTCAGAATAAAGGCCGCTTTTTATTTTATACTTCTCATCTTTTGGAAATAATCCTAGCATTTGGTGCCATGACTTGGACTGGCAGGCGATTGACTCCTGGGACACACCCAGTTGAGTCCCCTAGCCCATAACCAGATAACATCCTGGAATAATTCCGAGCATTTTCCTCTCCCGAGACGTCCTTGTCGCCAGCTGCCTGCACTCAGCATCGGCCAGATTGATTTCAGGTGAGCACTCCCCGGGGAACTTCTGGCACTGGGTAGCCCCAGTTGACTGTTCTCCCCGTCTGCGTGGGTCTGTGCATTTTCATGTCCTTAGGACAGCCCAGGGCAGGGTTCTTTCTGGGCAAACCTGTGTCCACACTCTATAAAATCTCTCACGTTCTTTGGGTTCGGATAGCCCAAAGCAGAGATTTTTGGACCACCCACACTGAAAGAATCGCCTCACTTCCCTTAAAGCCTTGCACTTTCACGGGCAAAACTGTTACTGACCCCACGTGGGCTCCACTTGTAAATCTCTCAGTGACAACTGGAATATATGAGTTTTTGGAACCGTAGCCACCATGTGGTGCCACAAACGAGTGACGGCTTGTTCTGGACCACTGGCTTTTTTCTTGCCTGAATCAGTCATGGGGAATGTATTTTCTAACTCCCAAAAGATGCCTTTACAATGCCTAATTTACAATTTATGTACTCTAAAAATTAAAAGTACCTAAAAAGCTAAACAATTAACTTTTTACTGCCAGAAAGTCTGGCCAACCTACCCGCTTATCGGCAAGCGTTGGCCCAAAAAAGGAACATTTGACCCCTGCATTCTCAGGAACTTGTATGATTTCTGTCAAGCCGGCAATAAGTTATTAGAACTCCCTTATATTCAGGCCTTTCTTATTCTGGGAACATGCCCATCTCTCATTAAGTCTTGTGCTCCTGCTCAGATACTTTTAGCTAACTCTACTGCACCGCAAACTTTTCCATCCTGCCCTCCGGTGTTTTCCCAGCTGCTGCCTGCCTACCCCTAAACTTGATCCCTGCCATTATCTCCCACAGGACCACTCTCCCCTCCCGCTATGCCTGATTCTCTCAGCAGTCCTGGTCCCAATGCGTTGCAGTTACCTCCTGCTGTGCGAGCCTCTCCCTCTCCACCTTCCAGGACCCATAACTCTCCCAGCAGCTCTAATCCCTGTGTCGCAGTTATCTCCCACTGTGTGATCCTCTTCCCCTCCATCTTCTGGGACCCATAACTCTACCAGCAACTCTAATCACTGTTAGCGCTTCCTCAAAGTCTCTGATTTCTTGTTCTCCTGAGAATTCTCCATCCCCTACAGCATTCTCACCGCCCGCCCACCATACTAGGTCTTGGTCGCTATGTCCTTCCAGCAGGCCGTGTGATTGTTTCAGCTTGCACCGGGAACAGTCGCCATGTTGCAACCCTCTGCCACGTGGCATGGCACCGCCATGTTCAGGAGGGTCACATGGCGATGGGCACCACCACATTTGGGGTCATGTGACAAGGCGCCGCCATGTTCCCAGGACCCTCACTGTCAACGGGTGCCCCCTTGTGGCTCCTCTTGTGAACTGCAACAGCCGCCCTGTTGCAGTGCACATGACACTTCATTGTGCTGCCAACAGCAGTCCTCTCGCTGCAAGGCACACAGTGAGACGCCATCTGCCTGTGTTTCCCAGGGTGACCGGCAGCAGCTCTGTAGCCACTCT